GGCAGTTAATCTGAAACTCTAAGCTGAAATTTGGCCCGATCATGAAATTCTGTCGGCTCCGACCAAATCGGGCTTAAAGACTGGTTAAAAAATAGCACAGTGTACACCTGGCTTAACCCTGCTTAATCATGGATGACTGGAAAATAATTGACTGGCAGTTAAAACTTTTTGTTTTTAATTTAATTTTAAATTGAACTACACTTTTATCATTTAAAAGTTTTTCTGACACTTAAGAAATATTTTTTTTTAAATTTTATATACTCGGGAAAATACATTTGTGTTTGAAAACATTGGGACTTATGACAAACACTTCATATCAGCTTTCTTGTTTGAAATCAGACAAGCACAAAATACAACACCTCACTGCCGAGACAGAATGCAAGTAGATTAGTACAACTGGCACAGTTACAATACAATAATACAGCACATTTTATTACCATGGGTATTCCAATCTCATTGGTTCCGATGTACATGTCTGGACAGATGACAGAGCGAGCAGCAAAATCCACTCGCTTCCCCATCATATGCTTCCTGAACAGACCGCTCTTCTTCTCCAGGAGCTGTAGGAAACACAAGGAGTGTCACAAGCATAAACTTACTGTTAAAGGCCACAGCTTAATTAAAACTAACAAAATAACAGATGTCAAAATGAGTTTGCGAGTGATCATGTTAGGAGAACCTTGAAACAACACAGAAGGAAAGAAAAAGTAAGGGCAGAACACAACAAACCTGGCGGATACCAGGGAACTTCTCAGTCATTAGCTTGTCCATGTCACTGTCAAACACGATGTTGACATGACTCTGTAGGCGGATCCAGACATTGTACAGTTTTTCTGAGAGGGTGACCCCAGACAGGCCACTTAAGAACGTCTGGTCCGTTTGGTTGACGTCCGCCGTCTCATCGGACTAGAGAGATTGAGAAGAACATCGAATTACAAAAATAAGTTCTGAATAAAAATCAAGGTAACAGCTCCTTTTACAATACCCTTTTACAAAGGTGGGGGCAGTGTGCCTACTCTATAACTTTACCTCCTCCAGCTCTGTCTGAGTACCCTCTATCTGCCTGGCTTTCTCAGCTGCAATGAGAGCAAGCAGTTTCTGAATGATGATGTTGTCTTTGATCACCGCCTGCATATTCACTGTCTGACCATTGGTAAACATCTGGTCACCCAATCGATTAATAGGCCGATACCTGAACGTGCAAGAAATCGGCATTAAGGCAAACAATGAACACATATCCATGTGCTGGGAAGTGAAAGGCAGTAAACAAAAGCCTTTCAGTATCGAGGCTCACCTGCACGGAGGAACCATCAGCAATTCTAAGAAGAACATATCTGGGCTGAAACCGTTGGGACTGTTCACAGCCAGGCCTGAGAACAAGTGCTTCAAGAAAAAACCTAAAGCAGATTATCAAAAAGACATTAAATGCACAAAGCATAGAACATTTCTTTGTCATGCAAAGCAAAGGTTCTACTGTTTCCCTGGCTTCAGTAAAACTAACTGTATGTAATATGGGCAGAGCTTTTACTCTAATCTGAAATCTGATTTGCTGTGTAGTTTATAATGGTTAATGTCAGGATTTGCATTGGGAAAGCTGATGCTCGATCAGCGTTAACTGGAGAGCAGCTTACCGTCTTTTTCCCACAATTTGACAACATGTTCTCGGGCCAAGCTTGGAGTTAGGTATCCACGTTTGCCCACGTTTATGTTATCTGAGACATAAAATAGACAGAGAATGTTGACAGACCCTTAACAAGCATGAAAGCCACATAAACATGAACAAATCAAAGAATATAGACATTTGTCGATAAAAGAACACAGAACAAACCTGCATCCTCTCCTGTGTCATCTTTGCCACCTGAACGTGTGACAATCAGTTTGCTGTTATGCTCTCGTCGAATTTCCGATTTGCCAGCCCTGTGTAAAATAAAAAAGAAACATTGAAAAATTTCAATACTCTCACTGGACCAATGCATCTAACTATTACATCTACGACAAATTAAAATTCCTTGCTTACTTGCAATTGAGGCACTTTCTTGAACGCATATGGATCCTCCAAAATTCACTGATTAGACTGTTTTTCACCTCACAAACATGCTTGACCTGATGTCACAAGTCAAAAAAACAGTGTACGGGTTACCTTATTATGAAATCACCATATTAAAAAAATACTACAAATCAACAAGTGTTACTCACAGGTTCAAAGCCATGGTTGCCTTGGTTGGCTTTGAGAATGGGGGCACTAAATTCCTCCAAAGCTTCTTGGATTTCCATCCCTGTTGCCTGTGGACTGCCTTCTAAAAACTTTGACATGAACAGAACACAACCGATCCATTAGGTTGTAAAACAACAAATCAGACCAGTATGCAAGACGTCTGAATGCCATTACACAAACATTTTTGTAGACATCCTGATGTTAGAAACCTTCACTGATGTTTCAGCATTCCGCACCACATCTCTGGTGCAACGGCACACTCACCTGATTCAGAGCAACCTCAAGCTCATAGACTTCCTTGACCACTCCTACATCTAATAACTTGAGCTGGTAGAGAAGCAGGTGAATAGCAGCCCTCGGACATGTCAACATGTGGCATGACAGACAGGAGCCTCGTACAATCATGTACAATTTCTGATGAGGAAAAACAAAAATCACACAGTTTGAACACTGAGCTGGATCTAAAGACATCACACAACAAAGAAGCACTGTGGACCGCACTTACATCAAACAACAAAGGGTTGTAGACGGGCAAATGCAGGTCAACGTGGCCAAAGTGACCTGGGCAGTTGTTGAAGTCCTGCATGCATGTGGAGCAGATTTCTTTATTGTCAGCTGGACCCAGTGACAGGTCGTAAAGTCCATTAGGGGCAGCGTTACCTACGCTGTCCAGCAGCATGGAATTGGTGATGCTTTTGACGCTCAGTTTCCTGTGAGAGAAAAAACGAATTATTCACACACATCAACACAAAGTTTATGTCACTACCAAACAGCGGCCATGCCCCTGTGGGAAGGAATTTGTGCCGAGGCACACAACATTACTTTGTCTATAGTGACATGCAGAATACATAGCAAAATGAACACCAAACCCTCTGTTACACTGGTTTCACATCGCTTGACCTCTTCACTGAAAAAACGATGCATGAGGATGCATTTTAAAAACAAAATGCTGAATTCATGTCAGAGTTAAATACAATGCGCCTTGATAAGTAACAAAGGCACAAACATATTGCTTTCCACTGTGCTACACTTAAAAACAAAGTTAAGTCAAAGTAAAGGATCTTTTACTTTTCATTTTGGCATGTTTTCCACATGTTCCACACTCATGTGCATTGCATTTGACTGTTGTGATTGCATTTCAATGAGGCAAATATATCTGAAGTACAAACAAAGATGTAAATACACATGAATACAATGTAATACAGGTTTTGCTTTTAATTTTGGCACGTATTTCACGTCACCCGTGGAAAAGTAATGTCATATGTGCACTTTACTACACTGTTAAGACTGCATTTCAATGAGGAAAATCAGTTTAAAGCACAGCAGAGTAGAAGACAATACAACTGTAACACAACAGCTCAAAGTGAACTGTGTTCAATTCTGACACTAAAGCTACGTTCACATTACAAGCCTCGTTTCTCAAATCCGATTTTTTGCTCAAATCCGATCTCTCCGACAGGATGGTTTACACTCCTTTAGGTAAGTGACTCAAATCTGTCATTAACGTGAACAAACTGGCGTCCAGAAATGACCCGCATGCGCACATCCTACTCAGTAACGTCACGTGAATGAATCACGTTCATCATCAGCACAAACTAACGAGCAGAACGAGCTTCGCTAAGAAGATAATTAACTCTGATCAGCTCTCAGCTTCATTATTAGAGCGAGACGAAGGAGAAAAAGGTGAGATGAGCTGCTTTTCCACCGTTTACAGGCTTTAACTTCTGTTCGGCGCTGTTACCATGGTAACGCTGAACGATGGCGCAGTGGAAAAAAAAAAACATGAATTCAGATCTGAGCGTTCAGATTAAGCTCGCATGGCCACGAATTCGGATTATATCCGATCTAGGACCACATATGAGAGCGGCTCAGGTTCGGATTTGAACAGATCAGATTTGCGTGTCCACACGGCCCTGAAAAGATCAGATCTGAGTCACATCGGGGCAAAAAAAAAAAATCGGATTCGTGCCACTTCAACTTGGTAATGTGAACGCAGCCGAATTCAGCATTTCGTTTGTAAAAATGCGGATTCGTATGTCTTGTTTTTCATTACAGACGTGAAAACAATGCAATAAAAGATCTGTTTTTTTTCATTTTGGCCCCTGACACTGAGGAAAAGTGAGGTAGTGTGCACTGCATTATAAGTTTTCCAGTGTAGTGACTGCTTTTCCATTTGGGATATGCCCCCCGCATCCCCCAACTCGAGTGTTCAGCCAGTTAGTTAGGTCGTTATATTATTAAACAGACAAGCAGCCGCAACTTTTCAAAGTCTCGAGAAATGTTTAGCCAAAGTTGACGCAGCTGAGGCTTGACGGTTAGCAAGTAAGCTAGCAAGCCGTTTGTTTTGGTTCATACCATCAGCTCTGCAGCTTTACCTTATTTCCTCGGAGGAGAACATGCTGAACGACAAGCCCTCCAGCCGCCTCCATGGCGATTCTTTCGAAAAAAGCATTTTTTCCTCGCTGTTCAAACCCGAATTTACACGATCGCTCTCTCCGTTACCCGCACGGTCCGCCTCGCGTGCGGATTCAGCACGTGGGTCCGAGTGCAGCGGGGACAGATGGGCCAAACCAAAAGTGATAAAGAAAGGGAAAGTAACGGTTCCAAACTTTCCACTCTTATAAACATTGGAAAAGCGACTAAATTCAATTCTGTTTGAATTTATTCAAACAATTCCTTCATGTTCGATTTATTATACTAGTAATGACGCCCATTTTAACAGGAAAGATCTCCTCCCCTACTCGAGTGTTTAGATGGTACACTCTCACTTCGTCGTTGGGGCAAAATGGCGTCCTCCTGTGCGCACGTAGGGCGTCAAATACACAAGACAACAAAACTATTTCACCGTAATGTAAAGGACACCTTACAGCGGAGGTAAGACTGCGGACAGTCAGAGGTGTTTTTGCTCGTTCTGTGATTTAATTAAGGTCAGGGTGGCGAGGCATTGCCGTGTCTGTGCTGTCTGAGCTCGAAGAGGAGCTGCAGACTAACGGCACCGGTTACCGACAGGATAACGTTAAACACGGGGTACCGAGACGGTAACCTTACCTACTGAAGTCTTATTGCCATCAAAATAGCACTAAACACTGTAGGGACCTCTATATGGTCCTTCAGGACACTCTTACTATTGTCAACCGGGTGGCGGCGCTATACTCTTTGCTTAACTGGTTTTCTACATGGTGAAATGGTTTTTGAAAGTAGTTTCCAAAAGGGTTCTTTTTACAAGCTTGACACTGTAGCCAACAATGGAAAAACACTTTGTGGTGCCATATAGAACTATTTTCCAAAAGGTTCTACATGGAACCAATGCATTCTCCATCAATCTGGAGAACGCTTTCACCACATGAACCATTTTGGACAAGAAATAGTTCTAAATAGAACTCATGGTTCTAAAGAGAACGATTCTCTTTACCAAAGAACCCCTAAAGAACCATCTTTTTAGTAGCGTGTCTGACTTTTTTTTAACTTCAGGGTCTCAGGATTGGGCAATACAACTCACTTCCTTTTCAAACCGGTACCAAGTAAAATCTTAAAAGTTAATGTCCCAATACTTTTAGGAGTTTTCTCAGACAAGTAATATGAGGCATTTGTTATGATTTCTACAGATATTAAACACATTGCTGTTGTCGGAAGAAAACCTTATATCTCCAGAAGGGTAACTTTACAGGAGAAGGAAAAAACATACTTTACTTTTAATGTAAGTGAATGGAACCAGAATTTTTTCCATGTCATTTTGGGTCATTTCTTTTAGTCCTTTCATCATGAAATTTACAGACAATGTAAAGGGCAACAGGTATATGTCAAAAACTGCAAAACATCAAAAATGGAGATACAAGGTTTTCTTCCGACTACAGTGATATGTATGTGTCGGTACACTTGATTCTATTACGTTGCTGCAGTAATAGTCTTTACTTTTGTGAGAAGGCTGTATACTAGCTGTTGGATCATTGCTGTGTGGATTTGATTGCATTCAGCCACAAGTGCAGTAGTGAGGTCAGGTACTGATGTCTGATGACTAGTTGTGGATCACAAAGATCACTCCAGCTCATCCCAAAGGTATTGGATGGAGCTCCATCACTCCAGAGGCCCTGCTTTAGAGAAAAATGGATATATTACATTCAAAATTGAATTCTTTTGAAACTAAACATGTAAAGCCTGTTATTCAGCAGAGGTTTCACCACATACCTCACTTTGAGGTTCACGGGTGCAACATTTGTGAAGTATTTAAACTAAATTCTCCACTTTACCTTTCAACTATTTACCTCTCCATTGCAACTGTACACAAATCTGTTGTGTCTCGTGTAACTTAGTTTTTTTTTTTTTATTCCTGAAACAGATCTTTTGGACTTGGTTCTGCCACGTTTCGGCAACCTGCAGCTGCAGTATCAGGTTAGAGAGTTTCAGTTCGTTCTCAATTCTTTCCCTGCTCGTCAGCTGTGTGTTTCTGCCCATTATGTTCTGTAGACCACATGCTGTGCAAAGTACTCAACACTGATAAGTTCTCTAGACTTGAGCTTGCAGGGACAGTGCCTGTTACTTGTAAACACTGGTCAGTATTCTAATTCAGAGGTTATCTCTGCAATTCTTTTGTCAGGCTCAGCGGAGGAAATTGTCATTCCAAGAAAGAAAACATGGTAAGGCATTGTTTGAGCTTTATAATTTGACTTGAGTATAATGTGTAGCTGTTGCACTGTTTGTCTCATTGCTGTCATGTACATTTTTGTCTGTAACAGGAATAAAGAGGCTGTGTTAGAGGCTTTGGCATCCACCGTTAACAGGGTATGTTAACCCGTGTCTGGCTTTTCAGCTGTGCTTTAGATGTAGAATTTGTCTATAAGCTTCATTCTTTCATGGTCAAATAAAATTTAAAGTGAACGTCCTTTTCAGGATCCTACGGCATCACATTACATATTTCAAGATGACTCTTACCTCACACCAAGAACATCCGCAGAGTTTGTGAGTATATTTGAGCAAAAATTCTACCAAGTATAACGCAGTAGTTAACTGGTTTTTCTGGTTGAAAGGCACAGACGTCCTGAAATAAAAGGCCAGTTTACAGTATCGCTGTTGTCGGAAGAAAACCTTGTGTCTCCACTTTTGACGTTTTTCAGTTTTTCGATATAATTTGAAAATACAGGGTGATTCAAAAAGATTAATCCGATTTCAAAGCGCCATATTTTTATGACCGTGAGGCACCTAGGAACCAATCACAATCCAATTCAAAGAGGAGGTCACAGAGTTTCTGACTGTCACCGGAAGATGGCTCCCTTCAGTCTGAGAGGAGATGAGACCCCTGAGCAGAAAGCGTTCTGCGTTCTCCTCTTCAATAAGAGTGAATCCGTCATAACTGTGCAGTGTGATTTTCGTGGGCAGTGAAGCTCCAACAGCTCAGAGCGTTCGTCGTTGGTTCCACAACACTGGATGATCTCCGAAATCGCACTGAAAGAGCCGTGAGTGCAGCGACACCCAAAATGCTCAATCCAGTATGGGATGAGTTTGACTATGGCATTGATCTTGTCTGTACAACTGGAGGAGGTTCATACTGAGACCTTGTACAATTACATAATAAACTTTATGCTCATTTAAACCATTTACAGTTTACTGTATTGATCTGTAAAGATTTACAAGTGAAGTAAATCATTTTGAAATCGGATGAATCTTTTTGAATCACTCTGTACCTGTAACCCTTCACATTGTATGTCAATTTCATGATGAATGGACTAAAAGAAATGACCCAAAATGACTTGGAAAGAATGTCTGGTTCCATTGACTTACATTAAAAGTAAAGCAGATTTTTTTCTTTCTCCTGTAAAGTTACCATTTTGGAGATACAAGGTTTTCTTCCAACAACAGCGATGGTGTTATGGATTTACAGTATATCCACAACTATGGTATATCTTCTTGTTTCGTCCACAGAAACTCTATTCCTTGTCCCAAGAATCAGGCAGAAGTGCTGCTAAGTACTTCATCAATACCTACCCCAAGTATTTCCAGAAAGACTTCGCAAATCCTCATATTCCAGTGAGTAGGATCTGCAGGTATCTCTATAATTTGATCATTGGACATGAAGGACATTCAGTATGGATGCTGACTTTCCTTTTGCCTCTGACAGTGTTTAATGCCAGAGACTCTGGAGCTGCAAATAGATGAGGTGTCTGAAGCAGCTCTTATTGAACGCATACAGCTCAGGAAGGTGAAAGCGGCTGTAGATATGTATGATCAGCTGCTGCAGGCAGGTAAGAGGATCTCCCACAATGCCCAGACTCAGTTCCAGGCACGTTTGTTATAATTCCAAGATATCCCAAAACACAGTATATTCAAAGTTTACCAAACACTTGGTATTATTTGGTTCATTATATTATATTCTACAATGTTCTGTTGTCTATCAACAGTTTATATTTAATAAAAAGTAGTTTCAGTATAGAATTAACATCAGGCATCTTATTAAGCTCAGAACATCAGAACCCCAGTGACTGAGTTCAGCTGACATGACTGCTAAATGACCATTAAACTTTACACAGGTGCTCCTGTGTCACTGGATCTGACCAATGACCTGTTGGACCTGATCTCTCTCTATGGGGACTGTGATCCAGCAAGAGACGATGCACCAGAGCAAAGAACTGAGGAGGTGGTAAGTCTTATAGTGACCAGTACATCAAAAGCCGTTCAGTACGAGTCTTAGGTCATGATACTTGGATCTAAAGCTGGTTTTACACATGCATTTATTTAGCAGTGTAGATTTTGGAAAAAAAAAAAAATTATATTCTTTTTATGTAGGGATGTTTCCAGCATAAACATCCAAAACAGAAGTATTGTGTGTGTGTGTGTGTGTGTGTTTTTTTATTATTATTATTATTGTCTATATTGTGCAAAAGTTTGGGCACCTTTGGTCAAATTACGTTTTGTTAGTTTTCTAAGTGAAAATAAAAACACATTCTCTACAGAGAACACGCTTCTGCACATCTAATCACCGTGTTCACTGTTTATTCAGGTTGATTTAAACCAGTCATATGATTATGTGAGTAGAAAATAGTGATGGCAAACCAAAGCACTGGAGCTTTCCTCCTAACTGTACAGTAAAAAAGGTTCATTACTTAATTAAGCTTCATGACAGAGTACACATTAGTGACATCTGGTGGCCAAAACCACAAAATGATTTGTGTGTCTGGTGGACAAGGGATTTTTTTTTTTAACAGATTTTAAAAATGTGTTGCAGTGCATTCAATAGAAACAACTGATAAAACTAAATTGTTTGTTTGTTGTGCATGTCTTCAAAATCTTATTGCTGTGTTGGGTGCAAATATCCAGCGTTGAGCAGAATGCTTAGAAAAAGTAGTGATGGCTGAATAATGGAACGTATTCTATTACAATGCATTAAACAGTAATGTATTCAGAATAAATTTAGAGTACACCCAGAACACATCTTCATAAGGCACTTTGGAAAAACTGTTCTGTTGTAATTCTTATTACATTCACTCTGGTGCTGGGTGGCACTTATTGTTCTGTAATTATTCTGTTATAATAATTTTTCCCAGGAACGATGCCGCCAGACCCCACTGCAGGGCTTTGTTTCTGAGCTTGTCACCTTTTCCACTGTTCATAAGTTTTCATGTCTGAATGTAACTTAGTTGTTTTGTGTGATGCAGGGGGAGGAGCAAGAGGATGTGAAGAGGAGAAAGGGAATGCCACAAAAAGCCTCTAATTTACTAAGGCTTGTGTGGAGGTGGGTTCTCCAGGGTTAGTGGACAGCAAGTAACTTAGAGATGCCCAATTGATGCATGCAAAATTTGAATCTCTTATATCCAACAGGGAGAACAATAATGCGGAGAGAATCTTTAACATGATGCCGGAACGTAACAGACGGTCGTATGGCGCTCTGATTCGGGGGATGGTGAAGGTACGGGTCAGACCTTGAGTCACAGCGTTGGTTTTATTTATGTGTCTTTACGAAGCTGAATATGCAGAGTTTGATCATGTGTTTTGATCCTACAGCACGGTGCTTACTCCAAGGCATTTGACACTTACACGGACTTGCTGAACAATCGACTGACCGGTAGGGAGACTTCCCCTAAAGGAATACTTCATTGTTTTTCAGTCTGATCTCTGGCTGTTGTATCTGTAGCAGACACTCAATAACATATGGCAGTTTTACCAATACATTTCTCTGTACTTTTCAAAAGGATGGAAAAAAACATTGTCTCAAAACGCCATTATAATAGAAGCTAATAGGTGCTTTAGGTTATAAGTGTGTTTTGATTTGTGTTTTTGTTTTGTTTTGTTTTGTTTTGTTTTTTTTTTAGTTGGTAGTAAACTGTCACTGGGGTGGTTTGCTCAAGGGTCCATCTCAGTAGCTTTAGTCAGGGAACATAACTGAACCATAATCCACTGTTCTGTTTTAAAACATTCGGTTATGAAAAGATAAAAATATGAACTTTTCCACTGGGAAAAACTTATTTATGGTTCACAATCAGACCTTAAAACCACTGTTGTACCTTTGAGGGAACATTACATTGTTTGTACCTTGATGACAAAAACAATGTACCTGCACAGAACCTTTATTTCTAACAGTGTGCTGGACTGAACGCTATAGGTGCACTTTTACATGCAAACCATAGGATTAAAAACTAAGTTGAAAGTTTAAAAGCTTAAATTAGGAATCATTTCATGCTTTTATCCATTAGGTGACGTGTACATCTTCAACGCCCTCATCAGTGCCGCCCCAGAAGTGAGGGAGAAATACGCTGAAAAGTGGGATCTGATTGTTGTGAGTTCATTTTGTTCTCAGAATCAGCCTTGATGTGTTCCTTCTGGCTGGGGTTCTCACTGTGTATGTGTTTGTAGGACTTGCTGAAGCAGATGGCTGAGCAGAAGGTGAAGCCCAACCTGCTGACGTTTAACGCTGTGCTGAAGGCTCTGCGGCGCTGCGGCTCACTGGCCAGAACGCAGGCCTTCCCAGTCATCAATGAGATGAAGGCCCTTGGAATCGGTTTGTCCCCATCACCTGCACAGACATCATTTCAGAATATGCAGGTTACACTAAACACTAAAGATGCTATAGAAATCAAAATACTGGGCTGATAATAATTTACACTTCTGCCTCTTACCACTTTTCCTCTCATGTAGACATTCAGTCATTTATTTAAGTACCTTGTTGTGGCTGATGCTGATACCAACACCAACAGCTAAATGAGACGTAACAATCAGTCAATTATGGGTTTAATTAAAAAAAAAAAATCTGTTGGTTCTTTTAACGTTTCTGTTCTTGCATTCCGACCCCAACATAACTTCTCAAATGTTTATTCCAAGCAAAGTTTTCATTCCTCAACTTGCTTGGGTCCTTCTACATATTTAGAAGAATCTCTTATATAGAGTGGCTTATTAAGAAATGTGTATGTAATGTCAGGAGTCTTCACCAAGAAATTCTATTGATATATACACCGATCAGGCATAACGTTATGACCGCCTCCTTGTTTCTACGCTTACTTACTGCAGTGCTGAGAATGATCCACCACCCAAATAGTACCTGCTCTGTGAGGGTCCATGGGGGTCCTGACCACTGAAGAACAGGGCAAAAGGGGGCTAACAAAGTATCAGAGAAACAGATGGACTACAGTCTGTAACTGTAGAACTACAAAGTGCACCTATATAGTAAGTGGAGCTGATAAAATGGACAATGAGCGTAGAAACAAGGAGGTGGTCAGAATGTTATGCCTGATCGGTGTATTTATATATACAACAGTTAGTTCCCGGGCACGCGAGCTGATTGGTTGAGAAGTGTTGTAACCGTGCTGTTGTTTTGCCATACCATCACGTTTTTTTCACAAACACTGTATCACTCCGCTGAGACGCTGTTGCTAAGCAACGACTTTGACAACTGTAGGAGACGCTCAAGTCGTTTGAATGTTTTTACTTCTTACTTTGCCACAAACAGAAAATGGACACTTTTAAGATCACATTTGACCGACAGCCGATTTGGTCAGACTCTGAAGATGAGACGACACTAAATTCCCAAACTGTTGTCACCACTGAGCAGCTTTTCAGTCGGCAGCTGTGACAGAAGAACAGCTGAACAACCTGGAATCAGCCAGAAATTAACCCAACACCATTCGCCAAACTAAATGGGCTGTAAGATGCTTTACAGACTGGCTGGAACAAAACAACATTAATACTGATCCGGCAAAAAAATGACAAACTGAGCTGAACTTGATATTGCGGCAGTTTTATGGCTCAGTCTGTACTTCAAAAGGCGAGGCTTACAGCAGACTGTGCAGCGAGTGGGCGGAGCTCGTTACTCTGACGTAGCAACAAGCTGCTTGTTAAGGAACTATAATTTGGTGAAGGAACATTAAAACATATTAAACGCTGCGTTCATGACCCATTTTATTAATTTCTTACTTTATTTATTTAACTGTTGCATAAGAGCAATAGAACACTCAAGGTCATGCGTTATTGATAACACAATCCCTCGTGTGTTCTGTTGTTTAAATATTGTTCATAACACTATCCATTTCAGTGATTTTTAAGAAGTGTAATGGTTACCTAAGATAATTACATTTTCCTGTTTATTGGAGAATGATAAATCGGCTAGTATTGATATTTTGCCGTTTACAGTGGTTTTACTGCTCTGCTGTTTTGCAGTGTCTTGCTTCTTGAAGTGAAAATGAGTGTGTAAGTTTATGTCTCTCCCAATTTAGCCCCCAGTTTGGCCACCTATAATCACGTCCTTGGCATCTTCTATAAAGCAGGTAAACACATTTTTGATTCCTTTCCTTGTAATATTGCTTGTATATTGCAGAGTTCTGCATGAGGTCCTCTCCGGTCCGGAGATTGCAAGTTTGATCCCCTGCGATGTCGCAGCTATCTGTGGTGGGGAGTCCAAGAAAATACAATTGTCCTCACTACCTCACTACTCTCTGACTGTCCCTCCTTCTCCGCCATCACTCAGTGCGTCTACCCAACACAGCCGTCTGTTAGCTAATGTAACAGAATTGGCTGTTAGTGTTCTCCTCTAAGAGCGTTGAGCTGTCCAGTGGCTGTTTGAAAAGATGTGGTGGCTGGAGTCACATGCTAGCCTTCACCCTCCCAGCAAAATTAATGAAGAAAAAAAAATAAATAAACACGAGTTTTATTTTATTTTTAGAGTTACAGTGAATACAGTCTATGAAAAAGGCTGTATATAGAAATATCAGTCTTCTGATTGAGCTGTTTAAACCCCTTTCTACCACAGGACACAGCTGATTAGCACAAATGCAATGATGAGCGCAGGTTTTCTACTAATTAGCTTTTTAATGAAGTGATTAGGGTGATGTAAATTTCACTAAAGTTCTAAATGACTTCTTGAAAGGTTATATTAAAAAAATGTTTAACATTTAAAAATTTTGATTCTGGAAATGACTTCATGATTAGGCATCACTAATGCATTCATATTTGTCTTAGAAACAATCCCAAGTCTTTAAGCACAAGTCTTTAGATACAAAATCGAATGTAAATGAAAAAAAGGATCTTTTATGAAAAGATTATGAAAAATATGTTCAATCAGGTTTGTCCAGATTGTGCCTGGTCCTGTATATGGCTGTGGATTTATGTTTTACTTTAGTTCTGGTTATCTGAGTCTGGTCATTTTTCTGCTTTGCAGCCACCTCAGCTCAAGGGCACACAGAGATTCTTCAGGATGTGTTGAGTGAGATATCCGGAAAGAGTTTTACTGCCCAGGACCCTGATGATGGTATAAGCAAAACTCAGATACACACCTTCTTATTCTTTACTGACTCACTGTGTGCTTTGTGGTAAGATACATTGCTTAAATGCATGTTTAGTATGTAATGTGAATGTGCCTGCAGCCTTATTTGTGAGGTTATTATAAAGTGTCTTAGTAATGCTACAGTAAAATTTCCAAAAAAGGTGGGACGCAGTGCAAAATGTAAACATGTAAACTAGAATGCAGTGATATGCAAATCATATAAACCCTATTTTTAATTGAAAATTATACAAAGACAACAGATTAAATGTTAAAACTGATACATTTTATAGCTTTTTAAAAAATATATGCCCATTTTGAATTTGAACCAGCAAACCTGTGTACCGTAGATGATGAAATCCCCAAGTTCTTTACCATTTTATGTTGAGGAAATTTTACATTATTCTTGAATTGTTGCACTATTTGATCGTGCAGTCTTTCACAGAGTGGTGAACCCTCCTCATCTTTACCTCTGAAAGACTCAGCCTCTCTGAGATGCTCTTTTTATGCCCAATCATGTTGCCAGTTAACCTTATTAGTTGTAAGATGTTCCACCAGGTGTTTTTTTTTTTAGCATTACACAACTTTACCAGTCTTTTGTTGCCCTGTCCCAACTTTTTGAAAATATGTTGTGGGCATCAAATTCAAAATGGGCATATATTTTTCAAAAACAGTTTTTCAGTTTCAACATTTTGCTATTTTTGTCTTTGTACTATTTTCAATTAAATGTAGGATTTAAATGATCATTGGAATCTGTTTGTACTGACATTTTGCCCAGTGTCCCCACTTTTCTGTAAACGGGTTGTACATTGCAAAATCTCTGTAATTGTAGATGTAATTTAATCTTATGTTGTTTTGCAGTTGAGTTCTTCAAGGATGCCATGAGAATTGTAAGTACACTTTTAAACATTGGTTGTATTGCTGTTTGACCACCAAACTTTCTAACACTCTCTTGTTTGTGCAGAGATTAAATCATGTTGGTCTCTTCTGTCCCCGCAGTGTCTGGCCACTAAGGACATAGAACAGGCCTACCGAGTGCACAGCCTGCTTGGGGTGGGGGAGAACTGGAAACTGCTGGGAGATTCTTACTACCAGAGCATTTACTAGTGAGTACAACCTCCTGGGAAACATGTTGCAACACAGGGGTGTTGTAAATCCCCAAACAACCCTGCATAGACCAAATATTCTGCTCTAATAGTAGTAACAACAACAACAATAATAATACAAAATTATATATTTAAATATTAGGTATTGGTCTAATATACATTTTATATATACACCCTTATTAATAATGTCCAATTATCTAAATATTTACACAGTATTTTCCCCAAAATTAATCCTGCTCAGTCTTTTAAGTACATTGTTGTAAACTGGCAAAGAAAACATGCACATTATAGTATTTAAAAACAGTTTAAAAAGCTAAATGTCCTCAAACTTTTGACAGGCAGTGTAAACTTCAGCCCATAGCTCAGACTCCACTAACAGCCAGTGGTGCAGAATAAACCAAACTTTGGCCAAAAAAAAACAATAAATGTTGCTTCCTAGTTTCTGTTCTCCTTAGACTGAAGACCGGCTACATTAATGCATCAAAACAGTGATGTTTAAAAAAAGCATGAACTACATATCAGTTGTTGATTGTGTTCAATGGAGCGAGACATTAAAGCAGTCTCACTGTTGCAGCGGGCGATTCTTCAACCTGCTCTGCATGATGGAGCACATCGACGTGGTGCTGAAATGGTACAAAGAGCTCATTCCCTCAGTAAGTACAGAGAGATAATAGCAGACATTCAACGACTCAGTTCAAAGCTCTGCTCCTACACCAAAGTCGATTTCACTGTTGTTCTCGGTTGCAGCTCTACTATCCCAATTCTCAAGGAATGAGAGATTTGCTTCAGGCACTCGACACCGACAACAGACTGGACCTGATTCCTCAAATATGGAAAGGTGGGCAGAACGTCCGAGTGTGATACATTAGCAAAAGAAATCTAGTCCTTTCCTTTGCCCCAGACGCAGTTCATCCACCTTTTTTTTTATTTATTTTTTTTTAGTTACATGATGTGCATTTGTCTATTTTTGTACATAATTAAGGAACATCTGTTGAAATATCATGTGAATTTTTGAACCCAGTGTCATGAATTGGATCAAATCATGGGCTAAGTGTATTGTTACACCCTTATAGATAACAGTATTGAAAAAGAGCCAGCATGGCATCTGTTTGCAGAGAAAGTTCAATAAAAAGAGCAATTCAGCTTGCTGGTTATGAAGTGAGCAGGAAAAGATCTCCCTCAGTTGTGGAGTTCTGCACAAGCACCGTAGCCAGAACAACCCAAAAAAACAATAGCATAGATAACAATAGATAATAGTACTGCTTACAGTGCCAGAAACTACATACAAGCAAGTCTAATTGAGATTACTTAACAACTATATTATATATATATATATATATATATATATATATATATATATATATATATATATATATATATATATTTGCATTTACAAGCCTAAAGTGGCTGATTAGCTTTATTGCTTCCCAGCTGTTGATACTTAATTGCTCCAGGTTGATGATTGGAGCTCAGATAGACATTACTCCCCGCTGCCACCTAAAGGAGTTGCAGCGCTGCTTAGAGTTTTCTGCTTTTTTGTTTTTACCCTCAATCCAACAGAAGAAAACGCACTCAATTCTTATTCTCTTTGTTGTGATGTAAACCTATGACATTCGTAAAGCTAGCAAATGTGAAAAATAACTACAGACAGCTTAAATAGTTGTGATCAGATAATGATGTAATAATTGTGACAGGCGTCAACACTCGTCACAGTTTGAGGCGAACGTGATTTAAAGCATCCATTTTCCATTGAGCTTTTTATAAGCTTCTGTTAGTTGTTAGCTACATTAGCTTCATCGCTCCAGTGCAACACTATATAAGCACACTTGGGTCACCAAATGTGTATTGAGATTTGGGGTAAAAAAGAAAATTATGCAAATTATATTTTTATCTTTTCTCAGTGTATCATTTATAAGCTTTGCATTTATGTGGCTGGTTAGACTCTGTCATGAGGGCTGCTTGATCAGTGTTAATTGATAAATTGACTCACCTTTCGGATGTGTGGCACACTTACGTTGGCCACTCGCAGCAGAAGGGGAGGAGGTGACGGCGAAAAGCGGATTATTCAGTGTATCTGCAAAAATATGTGGGCTGAGATTATAAAGGAAGAGACTGGTCACTGGTTGAACTATAAATAGGAAAGCTTGTAACCCTCAACATGGCAGCTGTTTGCAGAGAAAGTCCTGCCCTTCAATAAAAAGAGGAGGAAAAGCTCTCACTCAGTCGTGGAGATCTGTGCAAGCGCAGTAGCCAGAATCCGAAAAAACAACAGCATTGCAAAGATGACCGCAGAGTGAACAGACTTTTCTATAAGGACTGTGATGTCCTGTGTAATGTGTTACGGTTGTGTGTTGCACCTTGAGACCTAAAGAACGACATTTCGTTCCAGTGTGTATAGTGCCTTTCTTTTTGTTGTCCATAGCTGAGTTTAAAACCAGTATTAAAACAGATGAAAGGTGGTGGACAGAGAAGACCATGTTTCCTCCCTACAACCATGTGGATTGTTGTGTTTTCCAGATATTAAGCGGATGGGCCATGACAACAAAACAGAGCTGGTGGAGGAGATGCTGTCCCTCATGGCCCGTGAGAAACAAAGTCCAGAGGTACAACTTGCACAGGAACACCACCAGACCAAGCCAGTTTCCCACATATGAAATATAATTTATCATTCATTGGTCCAGTTTTCAACCTTGCATTGACATTTTTAGGCCCAATCCCATTTCACCCCTCACCCCTACCACTTAGCCCTTATCTTTGCCTGTTCATGTCTAGGGGTAGGGTGTCCCAATTTTTGTTGAGATAGAGGGGTAGGGTGAAGTGTTGGGGCTACATGACCCTCCAAACTGAGGTTTTTCAGACACTCCAAACAGAGTGATATGAGAAAAAAAGAAAAACTGGTAAGATGGAGAACAAGAGACCAAAGAAACACACGTGATAATTTTCTGTTAAAAAAATTACAATATCCACTGTATTATCTTAGTTTAATGTCATTTTATTGTGTTATGGTCCTTTTCTTCATAACAAGCTTAAATAGTATGCTGATGTCTCAGTAGCTAGCTAGCTAACTTTCCCGTTCCACCTTAAATAGTCCAGGAGTTCTGACGCCTGAGGTGCCAGAATGTAACTGCTGCTCCTTTTAAGGTGGGACGGGAAAATTCGAACAAGAAGCTGGTGAATATCTGACTTCAGCTTCATATCACTGAAGAATTAGGGGTGGGTGATAATAAATAATTGCCCCCCTCTTTGAAGGCATACGATGCCCTAAATGTAACTAAAGCCCAGCAGTGAGGAGCTGAACTTTACCCTCCTCTGCTGTCACTGCAGACTGGCAGGGTCGCCTACAGAGCAGCGCTGGTAGCTGTTAATGAAGTAATGCTCTTTTTATTTGAGGGTCCCATTTCAGAGGGAAGATTTCAACCACTACCCTTGTAACTCAGTTCCAAGGGGCAAGGTGACACTCAAAAACAAGGGGTAGGGGTAAAAATAAGAAATGGGATTAGGCCTTAGACTTGCATGTCACTAAATCCCCAGTGCAATTTAGTGACATGTAAATGTGTATGTAAATCGGTTTGAGCCGAAACGAAACGAAAATCCTTTTTATTTTAAGACAACGATTAAAGACTTAACCTTTACTGTACTGGGCAGGTGCAGCAGTCGTTTGCGGACTGTGCACTAGACGTGAAGGCTCTGTACACACAGACTGACCGCAGGGTGCCGCTGACTTGGTCAGCCAGCTCCCTCAGCAGCATCACCTCAATTCTGCTGGCAGCTGAAAGGACACAGCAGGCCTGGTGAGAGTTACACAGAGCAACATGCAAATGACCTGTAGAAAGCATGACAGGAAGATTTGCCTAATTTATGTATTTATTTTGGTTTAGGGAGATGATGAAGCTCTTCAAACTCACCAACAGAGTTCCATCGTAAGTATGGCTCCAGTCTGAGCTGATGACCTTGTGCTGTTCATTGTGCAGTATCTTGCCATGTGCTTTGTGATAGTTTAACCTCTTTAACTCCTTGAGACCACCGGTGGTTCCAAAACGCACTTCGTCATATTCTTTACTTCATAACTTTAATATTTCATAAGCTACATTCTAAAGGTGGGGGTCGTATGAGAGCTGTAACTGTCTTCTTTCCAGTCAAATAGATGGGTGATGTCATTTTAAACGCTTATAATAAAAGAAGCTGAACTCTCTATTTTTTTTTTCTACTGAAAGTCGACCCATTTTTCTACAACTCTGGGCTATAAACTATAAACAGATGGTGTCTCTTCAGTGATCTGCTCTGTTAAAATTATTTTTATAAAATAATACAAAGAGTGTCTAAGATTTTTGGCTTTCAGCAGTAAATTGTAAGAATATAGCAATGTGTGATCATAAAACACATTTTCTGTTCATTTGAGGTGAACTATTACAAAAAAAACCCCAAAAATCTAGTTATTTCATGCAGTTACTGAATAATCTGCCTTACGATTTGCGCATGTAAATTCAGATGGAAAAACCGAAATATACCTACATGCATAAGAGGTTAAAAGGCCCATATTCTACATTTCTCTTGCATTTTGTCCCCTTGTAGTGCATTTATAACTGTTTTTGGTACATAAAACCACATAGATGTGATGATTCATTTTTACTTGACCATTTTCCAACCTCTCTTTATTCCTTTAAATTAAACAGGCTGTTTTTTGTTAATGTGCCTATAAGACTGATGAATCTCTGTTCTGATTGGCTGCCCTGTATAATACCTCATTCAAAAAGCAGTCTGAGTCCTTATAACCTCATTGTGAATAGGTGGATATATGTAAATGTTTTGGTTTTCATAACATTGCAGAAAGTGAATTTTTAAACAAGCTGATTCTGAAGCTTAGTTTCCATATTTGTACTGTATAGACTGGGAAGTGAATGGTGTGCTTTGAAACTTAGTGTTTTAACCAAACCGTTTCATAAAAATAGGTAAAATTAAGTTTTCTATAATGCAGCCCATCTAAGTTTAAACATTAAAATACCTTGTTGATGTTACTTTGGCCACATGACTCTTTTTCATGTTGACAAAACTGCTTTCCTGTCCACAGTGAGAGCCTTATGAACCAGTTCTTGGTGTCTATACAAACAAACAACAATGCCCAACAGGCTGTGGAGCTGGTTCAGATTTCAGCTAGCTTCTGCCTGTCAATCACCCCAAATCTAATGGAGAGAGTACAGCAGGAGTTTGATTTAACTGAGGAGCAGAGGTGAGTTTTGTTTTCTGTTTTTAAAGATGTAATCATTCAAGAGAATAATCATTTCTTGTAACACACACACACGTATCTTTCTTGTCCTCAGGAGTACCTTATCAGATCTGGAATCTTCCACAGATATGAGTGATTAAAAGGATTGTGTGTCATTTAACAAATGTGTCATTAAAATGAATAAAATTCAACTAAAACTGGGCTCATTTTTCTTTTTTTTAATCTGTGGATTAAAACAAGATTTTCTATGTATGAACTTAATGGCTGGCATCAGTTAAAACTGCCCTCTGCTTTATTATTCACAACTTTGAACTATTAAGCTGGTCTTTAGCTTAGGTTATGATTGGAAATCCTTGTTAAACTGCAAGAGCTATGCCAGATGATGGATCTTTAAAGTGATTCACAAGACTCACTTTAATAAGCAAGAGTGAAATGAAAACATGCCGAACTGGAATCTGACTCAACATCCATGATTTATTGATACCCAATATTGATGTGGAGAATCAAAGCATGACAAAAATGGATTTGATTATTCCCAATACCAGGTTAATAAACAACCAGGGTACAGAACCTGAAGCGTTACATGTGTGGACCTTGAAACGGTGAACGGACTAGTTTTAGACAGGCTACCAACAGCAGTACTGAGCCAAAGTCACTCAAAACTAAAGAGTGGAGGGCTTCTGTAGGTGCACTGAGGGCACACTGGAGTGCCACTGCTGACAGTCACCTTAGATTTGCAGAAGAGGTACATGTAGACATTCAGCACAATGTTGCGGTTGGTAGGCCACTTGAGAATTATTTTTCAGGGCAAAGCCTTCTTGCAAAAGTGCTTTGAACAAATAAAAAATAAACAAAACAAAACCACTTTGGCTAGCGTGCCACATTATGTATAAATTAATCTGAGGTGCGGCAGGTTGCTGTTAGTAGCAGACAGGCAGCAGTCCTCATATTTTTACAACTCTGTCAAAGTGGGGCGATTAAGGAGCCTGGGTGGTACCTAAACCCACTGCATTGGCGTACGCTGACAGGAGGCTGATCACCTGTTTGGTTTCCAGGGTGAGCCGGGCTTCTTTAAGCCAGTCCTGAGCCACACGGCGCGCCTCGCCGCGTAGCTGGTTGACAAACTTGGCGGCCAGCTCCAGGTCGCCACGCTCAATGCTGTAGGTGGCGTAGGCAAGCAGCTTGAAAGTGTCGAGGTCTTGGGGCGCCAGCTTGACGGGTGGCGCCTCCTGCTCCTTCTCAAAGAGGAGGACGGACTGTAGGTAGGACAGGAAGTATTGGTACAAGCTGTTACGCGTTTCATCGATCAGCGCTACGCGCCGTGCCATCCGCCGAACACCATAGAAGCGTGCCCTCAGGGATGCCTCGCTGTAGACCCCACGGCTCAGAGATTCTTCAGGCAGAGCTGTGGCTAGAGCCTGGGCAAACTCATTTTCCGCACAGCTTTCCTTGATTGCACGAACGGCGTCTTCCAGAGGCTCAGTGGGCGAATCGGCAGCTGCTGTCTTCAGGGTGTAGTTCAGCGCCTCGACGGATAACCACAGCTGGTGGGCTTTGCGGGCCTCTTCCTCAGCTATGACATGGCCTGAGAGGAGACAGTACATTCTTTTTTTAATCTGCACATTTGGGAATCATGACGTTCATAAATTACTATCTTAATCAGAGACAATCATGATGTTCAAAAATAAGCCTGTTATAGTTGAAATATGTTGCCTTCCATCAAAAACCAGCATGAGATGAAACTAAAACAGTGCTATGAGGGCGCAAACTCACTGTCTATGGCCTCCTCTATGCCCTTGAGCCTTGCGTAGGCAGAGTTCATGTCCAGCGTGAAGGCGTCCAGCTGCTCCTGGGTCAGACGGCGATAGTTTGTCTCCTGTTCCATCAGCTTACTGTTCAGATTCTGCACAAGAGGGCAGTTTGAGACCAACATTAGTGCATTCTGGATTCACCTTCCTCACTCAAACATACATTTTTACCATGCCTGACTATTCTTGACTGAAAGAAGTTCTTTATTTTCACTCAAGAGGTCTTCAGCTTTTCCAAACACTGTACTGATCAGTGATTTCAAAAAATAATTTTAATTTTTTTCTAATTAAATTCAATTTTTTAGATTAATCTCCTTTAATTTCCAAATTGGATTTCTCTGAATTCTCAAAATCAAAATTTCTTCTCATCTGGTAGAAATACATATCAGTGTATATCAATGTGTGAATCTGATTCTGTCTTAAGCCCTATTCATATTGGATAACTCAGCAATAGTCTGTTAAAAAAAAGTATTTATATGTATTTTATATGTCGCCTCATTGAAAGTCTCACATCCAAATAGCAATAAAATCATCGCAGGACAAGCGAGTTTCTGGGGGGACTGCATCTTCCACAAGCATAGATTTTTCCTCCATACATGATTCTATGATCATAGAAAAATAAAAGTTGATATGAATAAAAAAAAAGTAATGCTAAACTAATAGCTGCTTTAATCAGCCTGCAGACTCTTACCTTCCTGACTGACTTCTTATTAAACATAAACCATTTTCATGCCATAGCAATGAAATCATATAAGCCGCTGAATGTTTAATGTGCCATTTCACAACCAGTGAAGTGCATATTACTGAATGTAGCAGTGAGAACTGCTCACCTCGTGCGCCTCCTCCCGCAGCTCCTGCTCCTGCACCTTAAGCACGTCTCGCAGGTGGTCAGTGTGTGCGGCTGCTTGCCGGCGCAACTGAGTCCTCATCTCTGCCTCCATAACCTCCCGCACCTCCTGCACCTGAGACAATATGCCAAGAAAGGCTGTAATCATTTAATTACAACAATACAAAATCTACATTACAAAAACAACGACCACTAACTTCCCACTGTTTGTATAATTAGCAAATTAGCAAATCATACTATACATTATTATAGCACTAATATTATTAAATTATTTCAGAAATTCTGAAAAGCAAACCTTTCAGTTTCAAGATCACCTTATCAGAGGTTTACAATTTTATATTACGACTAAAAAAGCTGATTTATGGCACAAACTCCATTAAATCGCAGCCCTACTTTCTTCTCCTGATCAAGTCTCAACTCCTCGCGGTTGTGTTGCAGTGCAGTGGACACGGCCTGCTCCACTGCTCTCTTGTGCTCCTGCTTCTGCTGTTCCAGCGCCGCCTCAATGCGGATCTGCTCGCGCACTCGCTGCTCAGCCAGCTCGCGGTTCAACTGGTCAATGCGGCGGTGGGCATGAGCGATTAAAGAGTTCAGGTCATCTGCACTCAGCTTCCCTGCTGGAGAAAGAGGTGCAGAGAATTACTGCAAACTGACTAGTTCACAGTAGATTGTACTGTAGGTTTGAAAGGTGGGAAACAAAAATAAATCATTTAGGATTTATTAAGAGGAAGGAGGAGCAGGTGATGTCTCAGTTCCTCTGACGGACTCAAGAGACAATCTGGTCAGATTTTCAAGTGTTATTGTTTACAGTCATTCAAGGTCAACTGATATGCAAACGTAAAAGGACACTCCACCCTTAAAACTAACACTCAGCCCAAGTCAAAATCTGAGCACGTTATCAAACCCTGTACAAATCCTGCAAACCTTGTGCAGACAAGCTGTCTTATTTGGCTACATTTAGAAGGTAAGAGAATCTAAAATACAAATAATGAAAAAAAAATCTACAATCTGTCTCAAACTTTAATCATTTTTCCACTTCATAATAAGATGAAAAAAAATGTAAATCAAACATGCCTTCTGAAGTCATTTTCATTTTCACTGTTCCTCCCCATCATGTAAAGGTTTTGAGACCATAAAACAGCTATTTGCTCATTTTTGGTATGAAGAGAAGGTTTTGCCTGAATAACAACAGTTTTCATTTACAAACTACTGTTGAAAGCACCAAAATATTTCGACCTAAAAATGGTTTAAACACCTGAAAGGTTTGAGTGCTGACATCAAAACAAGGGGATAAAATGCAGGAGGTATGGCATTATCCCCAATGTAGCACTTCTGCTGGTTTTTCCTGAGTTTTTGGGGGAAAACCATGGTAGAAAGAAAGATGCTCAGTTTTATGAAAAACATTTTGCAAAGTGAAACGAGCTGCTGGATTTGTAAACTGCACAGTGCTGCGCCTTTTACCAGCCAATGTTACAAAGCGTCAACTTTAAGGCGCCACTCAGATGGTGCTTCTCATACCGCAGCCTTGAAAAGAAAGCGTGAGGCAGATTCAGCAAAGAATGTGATGCTAATGCTGTTGAAGTTGCGCAGCTGCAGTGTGAGAAGGAAACAAAGGGGCTTCTCAAAACCTCCTACTTTATAGCAGAAAACAAATTGGCTAATTCATGAAAGAGGGAGTGTCCTTCTTTCAAAAAGAACGGGACAAGATAAGACCTATAGTTAAGCTCACAAGTAGTACCCCCCCCACCAAAGTGTATAAACCCCCCCATATGAAACATTAAGTGGGGAATCCCTCCCCTCGTTTTGAAAAATGAACTTCAGGCCCTGTTATTACAGTAGAGCAGGTAAAGCATGTGTGGGGGAGCTTACTGAGACCCTTCCAGTTTGCTTGGACTTCAGGAGTGATGCTGCTCAACTCTCTCTGGAACTGAGCCTTGGCCTCATTCACCAGTTCGCTGTACTGAGACACGATCTTCGCCTCAGACTGGGCCGCCTGCACCTGAAACACAGAAGGAGACGGTGACGCCACGTTCAGGTGTGGCTTACAGGTTACAGCACCACTCAAGAAGCAGTGGTTTAGGTTAAAAGGACACTTCACCAGTCCGCTAACATGGCTGAATATACAAACGACATCTAGTGGGGAGAAGGCTGTTTGATCTCATATGCCTTATACTAATTTATTCTAAATATTAGCACCAGCATTTTGTGAAGTGCTCCTAACACATTAATAACAGTTACTATATGTTAGCGTTTTGATACCTGGAGACAATATGGGGTTATTTGTATATGTGCGTGTCTGTGCTAGAGCTAAAATAGATTAGAGACTCGGTTTCTACTGATCTGCCTGTGAGTTAATAGGATTTGTCAGCTTCTAAGCATATTACTGAGCCTGATTACAGTACTTACTTTGGTTACGACTTTGTCCAAGTCCACGATCATACTGTGCAGGTTCTCCTCTGCAGCCAGGATCTGGGGTCTTGCTGCTTCAATCTTGGAGCCCTTGGCACTGTTGATCACGACTCTAAGCTTCTCAAGCTGTTCTCTATTTAAGCACATGGAAAACACAAGGAAATGAGGCTACAAAAGTTATCCAGTAAATAACTTTCCACTAAAGCCTTCTAGACTATGGTGACATCAGGAATGGTGCTGTTTTGTTTAAGGGTTAGTGGGACACAATGGAAAAAAGGTTCTCTTCTAAAATATGTTTTAAAGTCCCTTTCAGGAAAAATAACCACAATTAAGATTAGATTAGATTAAGCGACCCTTATTAGTCCCACAATGGGAGAAATTTCACCTCCGCAATCTAACCCATCCATGCAGTGAGACACCACATACACACTAATGAACACACACTTGGGGGCAGTGAGCACACTTGCCCGGAGCGGTGGGCAGCCCTATCCACAGCGCTCGGGGAGCTATTGGGGGTTAGGTGTCTTGCTCAAGGACACCTCAGTCATGTACCGTTGGCTCAGGGGATCAAACTGGCGACGTTCTGGTTGCAAAGCTGGTTCCCTAACCTCCAGCCCATGACTGCCCCATCAATAAGAGTGCACAGTAAGTACTGCCAAGGTTGGAGCATTATTGCTATTTGACAGTCTCTTGTGTTGCTGTATCTAACATCCTGCTAATGCTAATGTGGCCATAAACCTTGCAGGTCTACATGAACTCATTAGCGTAATGCTAACTGACCACTATTAGCTTTTCATTTGCTATCAGCAATGCCAGCAATTTGACTGTCAAGTCAGTATCCCCCAATTCTTGGTCTTACTTGGCCTGGAGGAGAGCCTGTCCAGCTTGGTCCACAGTACGGGTTCGATCACTCAGTGCATCCTCCAGCTCCTTCCACTGAGCCGACTTCTTATCTGGAGGGTCCTGAACAGACACACACAGAACTGCTGCTATTGGAGAGTGGCATATGGCAAATATTACAATAAAGGCTGTACTACACTAAACTAAACAACTACTGTATGGTCAGATCAGCAGATCGAATACTACTGTATTCTAGGAAAGAACTGTGTTAAAAAAATCAACTAAAGATGGTATTGGGGTATTTTTAAAATAAATAAATAAATAAAACTGAATAACTAAAATAAATACATAACACTAAGTATAGAATATTATCTAAAAGTGTGGCACCACATATATTAATTATTTGTCTTAAGCTTCTTTTTATTTAATCAAGATTTAATCACCACACCTTTTTAAATATACAGCATAAATTATTTGTCATGTTAAATTATGTTGCGCAGCTTTCTTAGTCATTTCAGAATCATGTACAGCTCTCCATCATCATGGACACATCTGAAATGTCTTAATTTTTTATAGCTTTATACTAATTACTAGGAAGCTAAGAATTTTCACTATTCTAGCAAACTGACCTCATTTTATACATATATCTGAAACCAAACAGGCATCACAAAAATGTTGAAGTATGAAAATTAGGCCTGGCCGATTCATCGAAAAAGTAATTGAAACCGACATTCAGAACCTCTAACCGATGTAAATCTTGCTTACGTCGGTTATTTAGATTTTTTTTTAATTCTGTTATTCCTTTTCCCTTTCCAGTGTTCATGCACTGTCCCCTTAAAAACTTACCTACCTTACTACCTGTTTTCATGTGACTCCACCACGTCCAGTCTGCGACATGGAAGCTAAGGCTACGTTCACACAGCAGGTAAAAGTGTCCCAAATCTGATTTTCTCACCAAATCTGATTTTTCTGTTTGGCTGTTCACAATATCTTTTAAATGTGATCTGTATGTGACATTAGTCTGAACAGATCAGCTCCTAAACTGACCCGCATGCGCAAAAGAGCAATGAGTCACGCTGCTTCACGGCTCATCCAGAGGTAAACAATCACGACTATAACCAAACGCCAGTCGCTCCCGGAGGATCAGCTTCATCTTCACCAGCATCACAGGAGCCATCATGAAGCTTCGCTGACTGACAGCTGGGCTCATCACCCAGAATGTGTCCGAATTTGCCATAAAAAGAGCTCCGTATTCAGTCACTTCTTTGGTTTGTTTCCTCGGATTCTTTAAACTTTGCTTTCAGACCTTTAACTGTTCTTTGACGCTGCAGCCTCGTTCTCCTCCAGTCACGTTCAGCCATTTCTTTCAAAATCTCTTCGAACACGGAGGCATTCTGGACGAGTCTCTTCTAATTTTTGTACAGAAATATCACCCCTAATGTTTATGAGTCTCAGCAGCGCGAAATTACGACGAATGTAAAGTTGGATTGACGTAAAAGCCGCGTGAATTCCGATCTGGCTGTTGAGACGATTTACATTAAGATATGCAGAACATATTTACAGTACAACTATAGTTCAGTGAACTATGAGGGCAAAAAAACAAACAAAAAAACAAAAACAAAATAATCGTTCATTAATCGTAATCGAGGTAAAATATTCAGTTAATCATGATAATGATTTGAGGCCATTTTGCCCAGCACTAACCATATTTTGCTATATTGCCACCTCCAGTTACTGAGTATTTAGTTGTAACAATAATAATAATAATAATAATAATACCACCAAAATACAACAATAGTACCAAAACAATCTAAACAAATAATGGTGATTTCATGATGCACTGAATAATTTCCTAAAGAACCATCAAATAGTTGTGAGGTCAGAGATCAACACTCCATGTCACCATTTATACAATTTTAACTGTAAATGTTCTTTTCTACAACAAAGTGAAGAGAACAGAAAGAAGAGAGCAGGAAAGAGCAGGTCAGCCAGGGCCGAACGATACTGACATAAAATAAGATGTTCGATAAAGCTGTCAGATATCACAAGGATATAAGAAGCGATAGACTGTTATTAAAATAGTGTGCCTCTGACTGGATGTGATGCAAGTACAGACTTTTTTTTTGCATTTGTAAACAAAAACCTAACTAGCCTCTCCTTTAAGCAAACAGCAAAATACAAAATTACAAAAGTGTCATTCACTGTTGTGCAAAACAAAAAGAAAAAAGCTACTTGCATCAGAACTGCAAGCACATTTTTTGTGCACTGAAAGGCTGAGAAACAGCACTACCTCAACAGCTTTTTCTATAAAGGCTACAAAAACAAAAAAGTATGTATATTTTTTTTTATAGGCACACAGGAATTACTGAGTATGAGAACAAACCTCATGTTTGATGCATTTTTACAGGTTTGTAGTTCAGGACAGAGTAGTTTTTGAGCTGTGCACACTCCGTGATTGGCTGTTTAGCCTAATGGTTAAGTTACTTGACCCCCACTAGCTGACAGAGTAGGGTTAAAATCCAGCACAGAAAAGCAATCTAACTGTTTGCGCCAGCAATGTAATGATGTTTATCTCAACTCACAAACTCACATTGCAATAATGATAAAAATATGATTTATCGTGCGGCCCTAAAGTCAGCCAGGTGGCGAGAGAGAGAGAAAGGGGCTCACCTCCGAGTCCATGGCCTCTCTGAGTTTCTGTGTGTGTCTGCCGATGGCAGTGAGGGCTACCTCCTGTGCTCCAATGGCCTGCAGGGTGAACTTGGCTGAGATCCCCAGAGCATCCTCAAGGTCACCTGACAAAACTGGACACACACACACCATTTTACCCACAACTCTCTTCACAAAGAGATTACACTATGGCCCAATCCCATTTCTTATTTTTACCCCTACCCCTTGTTTTCGAGTGTCACCTTGCCCCTTAGAACTGAGTTACAGGGGTAGTGTTTGAAATCTTTCCTACGAAATGGGACCCTCAAATAAAAAGAGTATTACTTCATTAACAGCTACTAGTGGTGCTCTGCAGGCGACCCTGCCCATCTGCAGTGATAGCGGAGGAGGGTAAAATTCAGCAATTATTAATGTGCACAAATCACAAATCAACTTATTACGCTCAAATTTACACAAACTACTACCAGACATGAGTTTGATGGTGCAGATATGCTGAAGATGAAACTGATGAATAACAAATTCGTGCACTAATTCTACAATCAGATTTGATGAACATAGCTTTGAAGAATAAGGGCCACTGGGTGTAGATACAAGCTAGGTGTACCTGAAAAAGTGATCAGTGAGTATTTCAGTTATGCAATTTTCAGGCATTAAGTAAGAGAGAGCACTTGACTGAATAAAGGGAGACCAAACATGGGGTCACTTCGTATTGTAGGCTGTGATATGAGCGTATGTGTCAGAAGATCTCTGGAACACCTACCGGACAGAGCATCCTGTTCTGCCTGGTCCTGCTGAGCTAAGCGGGCAGACACTTCCTCCACAGGTCGCTCTTTGAGGGCATGTTCGTCGGGAGCACACTCAGAGCAGCATTCTTCAGCTACAATCACAAGATGAGCACACATATAAACGGCACAGGTACAAACACATACTAACTGACTTGTGGCCCAAATCCCCCCTCCTTATACCACGAGGCATGCAAAAAAAAAAAATGCAGCGTCTACAAAAAGGCCATAAACTGGGTGCAAAATGAGTTTGTGATGTTGGTGAGTTAGGGCTTAGATATTAAAAAAGTGTAATGGTCATGCAAAGGGACGAAGGAATGAGTGGGTTAGTAATGAGTTAGACAAAAACACATCTCTCCTGAAGCTGGAGAGACAGAAAACGCAGAAAGAAGGGCAACGTTGGGATGAAGAGTCTCAAACACACGTGGCAAGGCAGGCAGCAGTGCTGTGTGCCTGATCAACTGATCCAGGAGCAGCTCCTGTCTGAGTATGAAAAGTATTTGAGCTTGCTCACTGGTCCTGGATCGGTTGCTGAAGGCCGGGAGCATTGCTCCATGCGGTGCGGCTCTAACCTGCCGCAGGCTGGCCGGGCGAAAGGGTCTGGGCTTCGGGCTCGGAGGTCGGTGGTTCGTGGCTAGTGCCCGGGGCGGGCACAGACTGCACCTCACTCATGGCTGAAATGATATGGGCCGCCTCAGCTGAGGCCTCTGCAACAACAGTGGAACCTATGTCAGGACAGGCGGGGGTGACGCCGAAGTCATAAGGAGCACGTGCTGTTCACACCAGCTGTTGGCAAGTTTGTTCCCTAACTTTAAACAAATGATTGGTGAAAAATTCAATTTCCAAAATTTTCCCCTTGTCCCAAGGTTAGTCAGGCAGGACATGTTTAAGGTTTCAGGTTTGATTCTTGTGCTAATGAAGCTAAAAATTCATGGAAACTTAAATACCTGAAGTTAGCACTGTGCAAGTTGTATATATATATCACCACACACTTTCCTCAAACACAATTAAGTAATCTCAAACAGACTTGCTAATGTGGTTTCTGACACTACAGCTGTGTCCCAATTCAGGGGCTGCATCCTTCGGAGGCTGCACTTGAAGGCCGACTGCATCACAGCGGTGCGACTAGGCTGTTCCATTTCGAAGGCTCCTTCATATGTGGCCGAGAAATGTGTCCTTCTTTTTCATGGCAACGAAGGATCAAACCAGCAAATCTCGAGGTTCATTGCATGCCGGTAAGGATTCGAGAACATGGCGTCATCAGCAGAGGAGCGAATGCTGGCTGAAAAGTTCACCTTTAAATATAAGTATAGGGTTTAAATTGAGGCGCATAGGTAATGACACAAATATATATTAAAAAAAAATCCAATCTCATCAGTAGGCAGCAGTAAAGCATCTCCAGCTCCAATAAATGAAAAAAAAAAATCAAAAATCAAAGTTTTTGGCTCCATCTTTAAATAACTAACTAAAAGAACTTGACAGGAGCAGCGTTTCGTGATGTAACGGTAAGGTCGGGAACAGCGGTGCTGTGACCCAAAAAGGAAATCCACTGTAGAGCAGACCGTCTCATTTCAGTTCAGCCTGCACGGGTCTAAGCAGCCTTCGAAGGATGCAGCCCCTAAATTGGCTTAGACACACTCTGTACTCTGTATCACAGTTTTATTTATTAGAATAAACATTGCATAGCCAAAAACAGTAGTGTGTGCATATATATATATATATATATATATATATATATATATATATATATATATATATATTTATATATATACACACACACACACACACACACAATACACTACTGTTTTTGACTACGCAATGTTTATATATATGTATCTCAATTTCAGCGTAGACCTCCCTCATACCCCATCCTTTAGCTTACAAGTAGTTTAAGCATGAACTTAAATTCTGTATTAAAGTAATACGTAATGCAACATCTTTCTGTAGTAAAGTGGTTTCTCATTTTAAAAATTATAACTGCAAATGCACATATTAATATTATTAAGCTCCTTCTGGTGTGGGTTCATAAATGTTTCTTCTCTTTAGATTACCCACACAAAAAGCCTCCTTGCGCCCCCTTGTGGAGAAACTTCAGACTGCTAAACAGGCCCCAGTGCATGCATGTGTAAATAATTCCTCTTTAAAGCAACATCTGGTTATGTTTTGGTACAGAAATGTAAATTCAATGTGTATATAATAAACATGTTTTTATAATTCAGCTTACAAAGCTAATTCTGGTCACAGGCAAGAGTAAACAATGCCTTCTGCTCTGTGCCCCTGGGCTCACTTCAAATTTTGGCCACAAAAATGGAGACTCTGTGAGCCAAATGCCCACTTGCCTTTGAGATTTTTGGGATTTTTTTTTTCTCAAATCTGTATGGTCACATTCATAACCAACTGCATAAAACCATATTATGTTGTTGGAATTTGTTAACTGTAACCACTGCGATAGTTAATGATGTTGTGGTGACCATGGTGCCAAGCTAGTCTGTCTGACGCCATAGTTGCAGTTCAATTGGCTGAGGTTTGCTAATATTACTCTACAAAACAAAGTCTTAAATAAAATAAGGTGTTAAATAAGCTGCCATTACACTAAGAGACTATTCCTGCAATTGATAAACAGTACCTGACGATACAACTTAAATCGGATGACTTCAGGACAGACCAGTTTGGCAGGGAGGACAACCACAGTCACCATAATGGAAATATTCCTGATATTTTTAATTAATCTAATTAAGTTTGTTAATAAAACAATCCTTTTTTCAAAGTAACAGCTTTGACTCGTTATGTAGCACATTTCTGTACTATAAATACAATGTATATGATAAACGTATTTCTATTATTGTAGCCATGAACTCTTAATTTCAGTAGATTTATTGGCTTGGCAGCCCAGTATAGATTCATATATCTGTGTACGCCTGGCACCAGCCATCGTAAGAACTTAAGAAAGAAGGTTTTTTTCTGTATTTTTGCCCATTTTTATAGATAACTATGTTATAAGGTGTGAGAAACTACTTGTGCAAGTCTATTTGAGATCATTTAACATCTTGACAGCGTTTTAAGCAAGGGTGTGAAAATATATTATGATGTTTACACAGTGCCAACTGCTAAGGTATAAGCTTTCATTACTTGTTAGCCTTGTAGCTCCACTGCAGAAGTAAAGAAGTAAATGCTTTTGCCAAAAAATTGCTGTAAAAGTAGAATTCGCTCTGCTGAGGCAGGTAAATGAATGGTCATGCTAAATTACTGCAACCAGTGATGGATTAATCATTTCTTCTGTGAATTTCAGTGACTGCAAATCACAAAGTACATAATGATTCAAACAGCAATCAGAGTCAATGTACATCAAATTATGGAAGAGAAAAGATAACACATCCTAAAATCACTGATTTGTTACTGATTAAATCTGGTTAGGAAATCAATTTTAAAAAACGGTGAGTGGTATAAGAGCACTTAAGAGGTATATGGAGTTCACAGACCTGTTGCATGTATAGAAAGAGAAAGCAGATAATAGCCCCTAATACCCCAATTTAAAGGAAAATTTGCTATACCGCAAAAAAGCATGAGATGAGATCTAATGAGATCTAATAAAGCAGAGTAGAACTAAATCAAATACTACATCCACAAAATTGATATACATCAATGCAATATCCACAAATAAAGATCCACAAAACAGTCTTCGCTGATGCACTCATCACACATATGACCCCATCTATACACCGTACTTTCATACCTGTCAGTGGAGGAATTATGTTGTTCCCACATGCAGAGATGTCTTAAATAGTACGTACAACTTAAAGCCCAGATACCAGCAGGATAGCGCATCTGGCCTGTTACAGACTCAAACTGATAAACATCCAGGACTATATGAAATCAGATTTAAGGAAGATAAGAATGCTTGTTGATGTTGTGTGATTCTCTACAGTAACACAGTAATTTCTAGTTTCCAAAAAAAGCATCTGATCTCAGCATCTGAAGAACAAAGTTTGGGTCCAGGCGTCTCCGGGACACCCCCAGTCACCACAGGTATTTATTAAACTTCATCACCAGCACACTTGATTAACTAGATACTGGAATATGATTACAATGAGTGCGTATACATGTACTCAATAATCCAATCGTAATCGGATTTCTGCAGCTATACGATTATTCAAATGATCATGTAAACACCAAGCTGGATTTTAGCTCAGTAATCAGATTTCTCAGTGCATGTACTCTTACTCTGATTTCTTTCGGATTTCTCTGATGGTGGATGTCGCGAGATACAGCAAAACAATTGTGGAGCGGCGCTGACACCAAACACGAAATAAAGGATTTAAATACTGTTCGTCTTCTAGATGATGTATGTTCATATTTTCTGGTAATGCGGCGCAATGTTTAAAAAAAACGCGGCATGAAATTTGAGTTTTACGTTACGTTTGTGTCCCGTCTTCTTCTGTGAGTCTACTGGCTGGTTGCAAAGCAGAAATCCGATTACTGCCTGACTCATGTAGACCTGGAGTTTCCCCATTATCTGATTACTCAAGTACATGTAAACGTGCTGATTGTATTACTGAAAAAATCAGATTTTCTGCAGTTATTGGATTATTAAGTGCATATAAACACACTCAGTTACTAGTGGGCTGTCACAAGGAGAGGTTTGGTAACAGCTACACAAACATACAGACATAAAATCACAAATTTCTGTATGAACGTTAATTGTATTTATCATACTAGTGTTTTCCTGAGCACATAAATGCTTACCAACCCAGATAAATATTTTCCCAAATATAATATTCCCAGGTGCCTAAACATCTGCACATTACTGAATATGTACAGTCCTTGTTGTTGTAGCTTTAACCCTTTGGGAATAATAACACTTCTATCTGCATATCTGTATATCTACTGTGTGCCGGTACACATCCTCACATACACTCACCCTCAATGGTCTGTTGTGACTGAGCTGGGGTTTCGTCTACAGCAGGCTTGGGTTCTACAGGTGCTGGCTCCGGCTGCTTATCTTTAGTTTTGCCTTTTGCTTTGGGCTGCTTTGAGTCCTTAGAGGCTTCAGACACCGAAGATATCTGCAGTGGTTCAACCTTGACCTGACACACATCCATACATAAAAGCCTATTTAGAAACAGTCCCATAAGCTAGCTCAGAAAGGGTAAAAGCTATGGGAAATACATACAATTTACTGTGGATAATACAGAATTCTGTGTTTTATCTACAGTTGAATAGATTTTGCCTCCTACCGGTTTCTTTTGCAAAGGGACAAATGGTGGTGGAGGGGGACCAAGCGTCATCTCGAAGAGCTGGTCGGAATAGGGAACGCTCTTCTCAATGTTTGCCCTGAATTTGGGGTCCCATTTGGCATACAGGATTGTACCACCCAACCCACCACCAACTGTCAGAAGACTGGCAGCTACAATCTTACCAGCAGCAGACCTGCAATACACAAAAACTGAATTTATAAAAAGTAAACTGCATTTTAAACACATTTATATTTATAGAAGACGACAGAATCACGTATTCGCAGAAACAACCACAGGGTCATGACTTAGGCCTTGTTCACACAGCAGGTAAAAGTGACTCAGATGTGTTTCTGTGTGTCAGTGTGAACAGATAAACACATTGAATCTGACATTTTCAATTCCAATTTGAGACGCTTCCATATGTGGTACTGAAATCCGATACGTATCCGATCTGCAGCAATGCGAGTCTGAACAGCCAGATCGTAATTCATGCAGCTTTTACGTCAATCCAACTCAACATTCGTCATAATTTCACGCTGCTGAGACTCAAACATTTAGGCTGATATTTTTGTACAAAAATTAGAAGAGACTCATCCAAAACCCTCCGTGTTCGAAGAGATTTTGAAAGAAATGTCCGAACGCGGCCGTAGGAGGACGAGGCTGCAGCGTCAGAACAGTTAAAGGTCTGAAAGCAAAGTTTAAAGAATCCGAGGACGCGAACCAAAGAAGTGACCGCGCCCTTTTTACGGCGAACTTGAACACATTCTGGGTGATGAGCCCAGCTGTCAGTCAGCGAAGCTTCATGATGGCTCCTGTGATGCTGGTGAAGATGAAGCTGATCCTCCGGGAGTGACTGGTGTTCGTTGGCAGTCGTGATTGTTTACCTCTGGATGAGCCGTGAAGCAGCGTGACGCTCTGTTCTTTTGTGCGTGTGGGTCAGTTTAGGAGCTGATCTGTTCAGACTGATGTCGCATACAGATCACATTTAAAAGATTTTGTGAACAGCCAAAGAAAAAAAATCAAATTTGGTAAGAAAATCAGATTTGGGCCACTTTTACCTGCTGTGTGAACACAGCCTTAAACTCAACTGAAAACTGGTGGGGTGATTTCACAAGCAGAGATCAAAAACTCTGAAGAATCTGGAGATGTTCTGAATGGAGGAACAGCCTTAGCCTGTCTAACCTCCCCAAGCATTGTAAGAAAAGACACTGTGTTATTATTCTGAGAAAGTAATGCTGCACGAGTACCAGATGCAAGTGTGTAAACAATTGCGGCAAGTGTAATTTTTGGAGTTTTATTCTTTCCTTTTTTTTTTTTTTTTTACCTGATTTTTCTCCCCAATTTAGTCGTCTCCAATTCCACCCGCTAGTTAGGACTCCCCCAATCACACGATGCTATCAACGCTAGGAGGGTGAAGGCTAACACAGGCTTCCTCCGAGACCTGTGAAGCCAACCACCGCTTCTTTTCGAGCTGCCGCTCACGCAACGTCACTGGACAGCCGAACGCGCTCGGAGGAAAGCGCCAACCGCCAGATCTGTTACGTCAGCTAACAGACGCCTGCGCCGACTAGCATCGCGCTGAGTGATGGGGGGAGAAGGAGGGGCCATCCTACCCACCCAGAGAGAACGAGGCCAATTGTGCTCTCTTGGACTCCCGGCTACGGACGGCTGTAGCATCACCAGGGATCGAACTCGCGATCTCCTGATGATAGGGCCAACGCTTAGACGGTTGCGCCACTCGGGAGCCCATTCTTTCCTTTTTTAATGATAGCCTTTTCTGACTCATCCTTACCAGCAGTGCCAATAAGTCTGGCGCTGTACATGACCCGCCATTTTCTGAACAATAAGCCAATAAGACCCCAACAAAGCAGATATAATGAGGTTGCGCCTGTTCTGAAATTAAATGTGCCTTTTTTGGACGCCATTCATCCATTCCTACCCTGAGTTTCCAGCTGAAGTGTAGCGACGGCAGTGCTGCAGGGGGTGGACTGCGACCTTCCCGCAAGTGCATTTCTGAAAGGACAGAAGTGAGAACAATCATCCATGAAATAGCACAGGCTACAGAGAAGAGAAAAACAAGAACAGATTCAGGTCTTTCCATAACTCTACTCAGGATTACCGAATAAATCCTCACATTCCCCCTACTGCCATACTCCACTAGGGGGATATGAAGAAACTGTAGACTTAGCAGGACAATTTATGACATAAGACAGGAGAAAAATAATGTAACAGACAGCTGAATTTCTAGTTTGTGTTGCTGAAATCTTTTATTGTATTGCTTAATTTTCATGTTTACCTTTTTTACTCACTTTTTATTAATAATTCTCTGACAATTTTACCCGTTTCTACATTAACTGAGCACTTTATTCACATTATTACCTCCTTATTTCTACACTCACTGTCTATTTAATCAGTTTCACTTACTATATAGGTGCACTGTGTAGTTCTACAGTTACAGACTGTACAGACCCCACGGGACCATTACAGAGCAGATGCTATTTGGATGGTGGATCATTCTCAGCACTGCAGTAACACTGACGTGGTGGAGGTGCGTTAGTGTGTGTGTTGTGCTGGTACGAGTGGATCAGACACAGCAGTGCTGCTGGAGCTTTTAAACACTGTCCACTCACTGTCCACTCTATTAGAAACAAGTACCTTGCTGGTCCACCTTGTAGACCTAAAGTCAGAGACGATAGCTCATCTGCTGCTGCACAGTTTGTGTTGGTCATCCTCTAGTCCTTCATTAGTGGTCACAGGATGCTGCCCACAGGACGCTGTTGGCTGGATATTTCTGGTTGGTGGACTATTCTCAGAATGATCCACCACCCAAACAATACCATGAGAAAAACTGATGGACTACAGTCTGTAATTGTAGAACTACACAGTGTATCTATATAATAAGTAGAGCTAATGTGAATTTGACTGTATTCAAAAATGATGATAAATCAGTGATGCTATGATTACAACCCTGGAGGTAGTATGTGGAGGTAGTATGTAAAGGTAGCGTCCATCACTCCACTGAGGATCAGTGATGAGGACAGAGGACCTGGAGTAACTCAACAGGTCTAAACTGAGAGTCAGACTCGACCTTGATTTGGTTTCACTTTTATACCTCCGGCAATTATTCGACAATGTGAATATTTTGCATGTCAGTGAAATTAACACTTTCACTTCATCTTGCGCGGAAAACTTAAGCCAACTTTTATCTTGGCAAGGTCACGTCCTCATCACGCACAAAACAGTCCGCCGCTGCGTAAAGCATTATCAGCTAAGCCGCCTTCGTTCTTCGCCTACTTAACTTTAGACATATTAAATCTGACCAGGCGAACGAAATTCAGTTTGAGCAGCAAAGTTTAAACTCTGCACCGACGCCTTTTCTTCAGCTACTTGTTCATGAATGGATGACGGAAAACATGAATCATGCTTTGCCCGCCCAAAGCAACGTCGCTGCAGCCTGAGAGCTTCCTATTGGTGGACGTCCATGCCTCTCACTTCACTCGGCGGTTTCATTTGCTAAGTCAGCCGTCAATCAACCCAGAACGCCCGCCCCTCCACGCTTCGACTTACGCCGTTTACGTAGAACTCAGAGTGTCCCAGCTAGCAGCTACACCTTTAGCCGTTTCAAATGACACACACCGCAGCGACGCAAAGTCAACGTATTTACGCTGTCAGACCTTAAACAACATAAAACCTGACGCACAAGGTGAACATGTAACCCGTGTAAGTTAGAAACTTGTAATTAGAGACAAAAACGCAGCAGGCCTGCCGTGTGGGTCACTGAATGACCGCTCTGGTGAGTTTAGCTCCGCGCTAGCCAGCGACTCTGACAACTGTCCCTGAGCGAAGCTTACCCGCGCCGCTGCATTCGCTCCTTTCAAGCACACACGCAGCATCGTGGCCGTTCCTCCTGTTCGTATCGGTTTTGAGCGACAGATTTACAGGACAGCTCAGCAAAACATCATAAAAGTGATGAACCCTCAGTTACACTGCGCACTCACTCCCAGCGCCGTTTCACCGAGTGACGGAGAGGCCGCGCATGCGCTCTAGGCGCGTCCCGCTGTGGAAAAAAATGTCATGGGTTCGCGATAATTTCATATTAAACTGCTCTGATTAAACATATATATATATATATATGTCATGTATATATCATATATATTCATCAGTAAACGTTTTACAGTGGTGGACAGTAACTCAGTAAATGTAATTCGTTTCTGTACTTTAGTATTTTTTCGTGTATCTGTACTTTACTGAGGTTTTTCCATTTTGGGCGACTTCTTAGCTTGTTTTGACCTGTTGGTCATACCGACCCAGTGCAGCACACGGTTCAACATCAGTGCAGCAGCGTAAAATTTTGGGAGAGTCTATTCAACATAAATGATGAACTAACCTAACTTTGTGTAAATAGACCACAATATAGAAATATGTACACATATGCAGTTGTGACTGACGTGTCTTTATTCTGAATTTATACAAACACTATTTCATTTAATAGTAAATTAGTTTTGGCTAGTTTATGTTTATGAACAGAGACCTACAGATGCAGTTTAGTAAAGGAAACTCATTTGTGAATCTGAGTTTAAAGTTTTTATTAAACTTAAACTTGTAACTAAGTTCAAATAAATCTTAAACCGAAACTTTGCTTGTTTGTAAAAAGTTATTTCAGAGCCACTCAGTTCTACCTGATGGAAACTGTTTGCCTTCAGTGTTTTGTGCTTATGATCTTTTTAATAGACATCAGCGTCACTAATTAATGACATTCTATTAAAAGACTGGTTTACCAAGAGAGACACTGGAGTATTTTCACCTAAAATGAGTTAATGAAGCGAGTCTTGTTACAAAAAATGATAATAGGACATTAAAGTCATAATTAATCTTAGTACTTTCACTTTTGATACTTAAGTACTTTTGTACTTTTACTCAAGTGGAGGTCTAAAGGGAGGAACTTCTACTTTTACTGGAGTAATATTTTACCTTGGTGTATCTCTACTTTAACTCAAGTACATGGTTTGTGTACTTCGTCCACCACTGGTGTTTTATCTACACACTTAAAGTAAACATAGTAATTCTACTTAGAATGATGCATTCTACATAAAACTATTTCATGCTTAAATGGTCCTTTGCCTGGTGAAATGGATCTACATTAGCACCAGAAATGGTTCTTCTACTGTTGCAAGCTTGATATTGTAACAGTAGAAGAACCCTTTTTTTTGGTGTTATATAGACCCATATGCAACACATTCCCATAAGCCTGAGGAACCATTTGACCCTGCAAAGAAACATCTTTTTTAAGACTAAAGATTAACATAAGGATTAAGAGAAAGACTTATTTTTAAAGAAAAGAATAGAAAAAATAAAAGAGAGATGTTGTTCCATCATTCTCACTCACTACCTCTTATTCTCCAGGGCATATTTTGGTTTGTCCATCTGAATTTACATGACCAAATCATAAGGCAAAGTATTCATTAACTGCATGAAATAAATGTACATTTTTATTTTATTTATTTATTTTTGTAAAAGCTCCCCTCAAATTAACAGAATGTGTTTTATGATCACACATATTGCTATATGCTTACAATTTACTGCTGAAAGCCAAAAATCTTAGACGCTCTTTGTATTATTTATAAAAATAATTTTTACAGAGCAGATCACTGAAGAGACGCCGTCTGTTTATAGTTTATAGCTCAGATTTGTGGAAAAATGGGTCGACTTTCAGCAGAAAAAAAATTGTGAGTTCAGCTTCTTTTATTATAAGGGTTTAAAATTACATCACCCATCTATTTGACTGGAAAGAAGACAGTTACAGCTCTCATATGACCCCCACCTTTAGAATGCAGCCTATGAAATATGATTATGAAGAATATGACGAAGTGGGTTTGGGAACCACTGGTGGTCTCAAGGAGTTGAAGAGGTTAATAAGTACACGGGTAACTTTAAAACTAGATCCATAACAGGTTAAAAATCAGTATACACTACCATGCAAGTCTTAGGAAGTTACAAAATTTGGTGTCTAATCTTTGCCACAAAGGGCTGGTTTGGTGGCAGGTTTTCACTGCAACAAAGCAGGACAGAACACGTGATTAATTGTTTGGCTAAGAACAATTGAATAAACAAGTGCAGTCAGGTGTGCTCATGCTCGACTGGAGTGAAAACCTGCACCAGGCCTTTTGTGGATAAGATTGCACACTTGGCAGCAAGTGTGTATTTGCTGGTTAAAAGACTATATAACATAAAAATAAATACAAATAAACAAACACAGTACAATGCAAAAAGTTGTTTTTTTAAAACAGTTATTAACATCTTGGTTACAAGAAAACATTTAGAAGAACACAGGATTGTTTTCTTGACTTCTTGGGTGGTGGATTAAATCAGCACAACTGATTTGATTTAATGAAAGATTGATTAGCCAAACTAGGTCATGGGTGGTGACTGTAAATACTAAACGTCTTCAAGGAGAGGTCGGGAAACGGTGAAGACAACACACTTACACACAAACACCGATCAGGCATTACATCATGACCACCTCTTTGTTTCTATGCTCATTGTCCATTTTATCAGCTCCACTTACTATATAGGTGCACTTTGTAGTTCTACAGTTACAGACTGTAGTCCATCTGTTTCTCTGCATACTTTGTTAGCCCCCATTTACCCTGTTCTTCAGTGGTCAGGACCGCCATGGACCCTCACAGAGAAGGTACTATTTGGGTGGTGGATCATTCTCAGCACTGCAGTAACACTGACGTGGTGGTGGTGTGTTAGTGTGTGTTGCGCTGGTCTGAGTGGATCAGACACAGCAGCGCTGCTGGAGTTTTTAAACACCTCAGTGTCACTGCTGGACTGAGAATAGTCCACCAACCAAAATATCCAGCCAACAGCGCCCTGTGGGCAGCGTCCTGTGACCACTGATGAAGGACTAGAGGATGACCAACACAAACTGTGCAGCAGCAGATGAGCTATCGTCTCTGACTTTACATCTACAAGGTGGACTGACAAGGTAGGAGTGTCTAATAGAGTGGACAGTGAGTGGACACAGTGTTTAAAACTCCAGCAGCACTGCTGTGTGTGATCCACTCTGACCAGCACAACACACACTAACACACCACCACCACGTCAGTGTTACTGCAGTGCTGAGAATGATCCACCACCCAAATAGTACCTTCTCTGTGAGGGTCCATGGCGGTCCTGACCACTGAAGAACAGGGTAAAAGGGGGCTAACAAAGTATGCAGAGAAACAGATGGACTACAGTCTGTAACTGTAGAACTACAAAGTGCACCTATATAGTAAGTGGAGCTGATAAAATGGACAATGAGCATAGAAACAAGGAGGTGGTCATAATGTTATGGCTGATCGGTGTAAAATCACAATGTATTGTATATGTGTATTTATACTAACGTTGGTGTTTTTTGTACTATCTAGAGATTATACTTTAATGTCAGTGCGAGTATCACACTGAACACTCTCTCTACCAATGAAGAAGATCTAAACACCAAGATGCTTTTGGGAAAGTAGGCCCAGATAAACAGCCATTGTACTTTGTTGTCAGATGCATAAGATTTCTGTGGAGTACAGTAAATTACACACAACTAAATCAAGCCACAAGACGCATGTGAAAATTAAACTTTAATGAATTGAACAACACGACAGACTGAAGCTTCGATTTATGTTTCAAATTCACACAAACAGCTGGAGTAAATTGGTGGGATAAGGTCGTTAATAGTGTTATTATAATGCAGTAATTCCGGTCAGGGACAAAGAGAGTGTCATGCTTGAATGAATAAGCAATTTAATCAGAAACTCTAGCAGGTCAATGTCAGTCAGTCATTGTTGCCTGGGGTGCAAGACAGTTTTTCAGGTTTGAGTAATTTTTATTGTTACTTGTGTTATATAGCATAAATATCAGATCCACATGCCCAGATGTTTGCATGATTTAAATCAATTTAAAGACTTGTCCTCTAATAATGCCCTGTCAAGCTTCACACTTAGGCTGGGGATACACTACATAACCCACATTTTTATATTAGGGAACGTCTCAAATGATCACATTTCCTTGCCCAAACACTGGTTGAGTTGGTGTAGTCTGCTTGCAGGTCAAGCTAAAGTTAAGCTGCTTAAATTGTCTGGTGCTGTTTTGTAGCTATACAGACCAAAAATGTAGTCATTTATGAATTTTAAAGTGAAGCTGAAACAAACAATGCATCTTTCCTCTACCCTCTCCTTCTAGGAAATGTTTATTGATGTAATGGTGCCACAGTTCCATATCTCTGCTGTCGGAAGAAAACCTCGTATCTCCAAAATGACAACTTTACAGGAAAAGGAAAAAAACCTACGTAACTTTTAATGTAAGTGAATGGAACCAGATTTTTTTCAAAGTCATTTTGGGTCATTTCTTTTTATCCATTCTTCATAAAATTTAAACACAATGTAAAGAGCAACAGGCATTTCACAATTATGCCAAAAACTGAAAAACAAAAATGGAAATACGAGGTTTTCTTCCAACAGCAGCGATATGTATTTCTACCATTTCCACAAGCACCTTTGAATATCACCTGAGGTCAGTGTGTACAGTGGGATGAGAACAATGATCAGTCGTACGACTTCTGTCATTTAATTTACTCTAACCTGTGATTTCAAACCCTGATTTTGAAAGCACTTCCATTTCAGTTGTGTTTAAACAGAGTTATGAAATAGCTTTAGTTTGAAAGAAGGACCACCCCGAAACTCCTCCCCTACAATCCATGCCTTATAAGTTGTCCCATTTCTCTTTAGTTTCCCATGACGAAAACTTCGCAGCCCACCTCCTCCCACTCTTCCAAGACTGGGAAGGGGACCTCATTCTCAGCAAGCCACCCCAGAACTTCTGCCCAAGCTTCTCCAAGTTCTCTGTCGCCAGCTCAGTTTCGGGTGTGGTCCAAACTCACAAACCACTACTCAGCTCCAGTGTGATAAAATACGTAGTGTACGCCTGGCCTAAGTTGAGAACTTCAATTTTACACTGTAACTGATCACATTTATAAATTAAAGACACACTGAACATGTATATGGAACTCTGATACAGAACACGTATGCAGATTTTTGCCTTCATCTGACCAACAGGCTTTATAAGAGCTACAAAGAAACTTGCCTTTTAATTTATGGCATTGGTTTGCCTGTATGACAGCAGGCAGTGCCTTACACTTCTTTTTACTTACAAGTTCACTTTTCAGATTTATTCTCTAAGTGCAAGGCATTTGATTCCAATTCTTTTTCCAGACAAGCACAGAATTAAATCATATTAGGAAAAAAGTAGGTTCCTATTAGGCCGGTTTTCTGGATACAAATTTAGCCTTCGTCATGGACTAAATAGGCTAGTCCAACGTTTTCAGTTAGCAGTAACATTTAGTCCAAACCTAGACTTAATATGTCCACAAAGGCCTATATTCTGTAAAGTGTATGCAGATTCAAACCACCGGAAAATAAAAACAGGAGCCAACAACATGGATCTACAGGTCTACAGACTAACAATGGACACATCAAGTATTTTATAAGTTAAGTGCAGGAAGCAGATCTGCAGCCGATGGCATATGCTATTCTGGTTCGGATGGATAATCTGCATAAGGTTGTCTGGCTGGTCTCTTCTTATAGGATGGCCACCGACACACTGGACAGCAGTGTCGTCCACCTGCTAGCCAGACCACGATGCACTGCTGGTGAAAAACATGGCCGCACGGCAGGCCCATGACAAGGCATTCGGTTTCAAAGTTCTCCAAACACACCACGCATTCCGTGCAGTGGAGCATGCCGCAGGGCCACTGGGACCAATCGGTGTCCTGTTCCTCTCCTGAAGACCAGGACTCTTCTGACTTCATCTCAGCCAAACACCCATCTTTAGTGTGAGTATTCTCTGAGCTGTAATGATGTTTTTGCTGGTCACTACCTGGTTCGTCTCTTGATGGGTGCACCATCTTGTTTGGTGGATTATCTTGGTCCCCTAAGACAGCACCCTCTGGCTGAGTGCACTTGAACCTCCAGGTGGGCAGGTTTTTGATGTAGTCGATGGGAACAAGTGGGCGAAGCCAGAGGTCCGGGAAAGCCAACCTATCTAAAAGGAAGTTTGGATCATCGTCCCAGTCTGACTCGTTTGGAAAGTTCTGAAAGGAGGCAATAGGGTGTACCAAGTAACTGGTGTACCAATCCCACAGACTGGACAGCCACTCCAGATTATTTGCATTTTGGTCTTCGTTGCCACACCTCCTCTTCTTCTCAAAGTAGTCTATGAGCAGGCCATGGGCTAGGTACGTGCTCAAGAACAGAGCCGGGTGTGAAGAGTAGAAGGTCCAATCTGCTCTGACCCAAGAGGCAATGGTGGTGGTATCAGCATAGCGCAGCAATTTAAGACTGTACTCATAAAAGTTGTCCAAGTATGGCAGCTGAAGGAATCCAAGGATGGGAAGCCAGGAGATAATCAGTAAGGAATTATAGGTCCCCAGTGTGCTGATTAGAACCACAAAGCGCTTAATAGTGGCTCCTTGTGTTATGAAAAGGTCCATCCAGGCCATGAGGTTAACCATGACCAAGCTCAAAACAAAAAGGTCATTGACCTCTGGCTGGACAGACCGTAAGAACGTGTCCATGGCATGCAGGGAAATGTATTCCCCAGTGCTGTTGCCATATCTGTAGATACCTTCTGGTGTTTTGAGAATATAAGAGGGCATCTGCTGCACTCCGATCTCCTCCAAACAGGTGGCATTGTCCCAGTTGCGCACGTCAACGAAAATGAACTCTATGCGCCCTGTGAATTTGATGCTGAGGGCTGAGAAGAAGGCAGGGGGCTGGATCAGTTTGGCAAATAAAAACATCTTGACGGGCTGTTTTTCTCTCTGATACCAATCGTCCATCAACTGCTGTGAGAAACGGATGGTTTTGATGCGAGAAGCAACATGTGCGGTCATCCATTTGAAGATGTGTTCCGTCTCAATGCGTCTACCGTTATACTCTTTTAGCATGACCTTTCCTTTAGAGGCATAAGTCTGGGGCACTGACATGATGAGGGTGGACTTCATCCAACCACGTTTACGGCAATATCTGATAAAGTGGTGAAAAAAAAACAATTCACAAAATCACTACTTAAAATTACACAATAAATGTGTATGTCCACATAACTCCAACGGTTATCTGATCTACTTCTGTACAACAGCATACAAAACTCTTCCAATACATGCGGCAGCAATGCAATTCCTCACCTTGAGTCGCTGGAGCAATTGAAAGTGCCAGTGCGAATACCAAACTGAGAAACTTTCTGTACCATCTTGCCCCAGTTGGCTGTGCTCAGCAGTGGATTTCTGTCCTGGGCTATTACCTGCACAAACAGAAAATAATCTTCTATTTAAAACAGCATGCAAATAACTTGCCAAATAGCCAAGTCTATGATCATTATGTGTCAAGAATGCACTTCCACTTTCTGCAAATCATTAGAGCTACAGTAGACGGTAGATAGTAGTGTTAATGTCCTAGGTAACATTTAATTGATTTTTCCATAAAATTATATGGTACCGTGGTGTAGCAGAATGCATTACGCTAGATCCATCTCTGGCAATTTTGTATGATATATATACACATAGATATATATATATACATATATATATACACATAGATATATATATATACACATATATATATATATATATATATATATATATATATATATATATATATATATATATATATATATGCATGTATGTAATACACACACACACACACATATATATATATCTCGCTGTTGTCGGAAGAAAACTCCTAATCGTAGGTATGACTGTGTGTGTGTATGTGTGAGTGATGGTAGGAATGCATATTTTATTTTATTTTATTTGCTACATGTAAATGTTTGTCTGATACTGTGCACTGTGAGCCCCAGTGACCAAAACCAAATTCCTTGTATAGGTAAGCATACCCGGCCAATAAAGCTTGATTCTGATCTCCAAAATGGTAACTTTACAGGAGAAGGAAAAAACCTACTTCACTTTTAATGTAAGTCAATGGAACCAGACTTTTTTCTGAGTCATTTCGGGCTGTTTCTTTCAGCCCATTCAACATGAAATTCACACACAATGTAATGGGCAACAGGCATTTTCAAATTATGTCAAAAACTGAAAAACGACAAAAAATGTTTTGTTCCAACAGCAGAGTTATATATTTATATATTTATATATATATATATATATATATATATATATATATATAAGCAGCACTGCAAACATCCAGGGACAAGCTGGGCACTAAAGTGTCTGAGGACGTGACAAAATAACTGAAAAGTTCTGACCTTTCCAATGTCATGCAGACTTTGGGAAGAATAATATATACGTACCTGGACCAACCAGATACCATCCTTAGTGTCTTCCACTAACTCATAAAAGTGCATCTCCCCGCTGAAAGTGGTGCTGGAATCAGATCCTGCTTGCTCTTTCTCATTTTTTAAAGCGGAATAGAGCTCCCCTTGCATCAGCTCTCCTGGATTGGAATGAAAACAGCAGGGATTAATGTCAATAACTCCAGACTGCCATTTAACATATTAGCGCATTTTCATTTCATCTTGATGTTCAACACAAAGGCTTAAAAACAAACAAAAACAAAAAAAAAATCTTACCCGAGTTTTCGACCAACTCTCTGACATCTCGTTTCTCGGCCAGACCAGAGTAGCCTAAACCGCGACACTCGAGAATCGTCTTCAACTTCTTAAAACTCAGCGTTACCGGATCCACGAGCTGCGTGGCAAAGATGCCGGTTTCGTACCAGACGACGGCCTCGAAAAACCGCGCCAGGACGAACAGAACAAAAAAGTAAAGAAGCAGAAAGAACAGTTTTAACCACATGGTTTTCTCCGACGGTGCTCCTGCAGACGCACTGGGTCACTCTGTGTATGTTTTGGCGAGGACTCCGCTGTGTGACATTGGAGGCCAACGTTAATATGCAGCTCCGTCAGCTGTGAGTGGATCTCTGTCTCTTGTAAACTCCGCCGGCCAACTGTGCGCAGTTTGCGGTTTGGAGACCCCACTAGTTGGTTTGTGGCGCAGTGTTGGCTCTTATGGTTTCGAGCATTTCCTCTAGCCCGGTTTAATGCGCGGTAAGGTTTGTTGTCAGGAGAGCTAGGGCGCTAACTTCACTCATGAAGCTGCGCAGCGCGGCAGGCCAGTTTGTTGTGGCCCTGCCTGCGCAGCACAAGCGGCTCAAACACGACGAAAACGGCCGAGCTCTTCATCTGGACGCCATTCCGCAGCGTGACGGCTTCGTTCAAGATGAAACAGAACAGAAACGAAGCAGGAAGGCACCGTCTGTTTTTCTCTTTTCTTCTTTATTTCCTCCGCGTCGAAGCTCCGCCGCTCGCTGCCCGTCAGCCATCAGCTGGTATACATAACAACATCACGTCATCCAGCTGCTTCCGCTCTCACTCCAGCAACCCAAAACAAAAGCCGAGAGATAAAAAAAAAAGTTAGTTTATTATTAGACTTTTAGATTAAGTCACCACATTCATAAACACATGTGCCATAAACATGCTTACAAATCTATTCATTTAGATAAAAGAAAGAGCATTCGTCTGCCTACGTAGTTTTTGTTTTTCAAAATAAAAGTGTTATGACCAGTTAGGTGTGACCATAGATATGCATACTGCTATTTAGGGCGGTCAGTATCGCTGCTGGACTGCATACAGTACCATTACAGAGCGGCAGTTTAAGAAAGATACTGTCAAAATTACACTATTTCAAGAATATTGCTCTCAGAAAGTGGGATAGGATTATATAACGGAGGGAACGCAGTGATCCACACTCATGTCTGTGTGATGCGTATTGTTTGTGTGGTGTTTATGTAGATATGGCCGTGTGGTTAATGAGGCACAGAGAACCTGTTGATGTGATTGTTTTTCCTCTGGTTTTATATTAAGCTTATTTCATTTAATAGTCTATTCAGGGGGCCTTAACTTTATGTAGTAGTTATTTATTTACAGTGATGGTTAAGGCTTTGTAGGTAAGTTATATCATTCCTTAATCCGTGTAGATATTCATAATAGATTAACATTAGCACCTTCTTACACGAAGCTGAAGTCAACTTCTTATTTGCCAGCTTCTAGTTCGAATTTTCCCGTTCCACCTTAAATGGTTCAGCTTCAGGCACCAGAAAGTGACTGAATGGAAAAACTCCAACAAGAAGCTGGCGAATAGGAAGCCAACTTCAGCTTCGTCCCTCTTACTGTGTTTTGGAGGGGTGTGGGGGGGTTATTTTATTGTTATGTGTTAAGATTAAAAGTGATTCACACATTGATGGATTTCCTGATGATATTATCTTTCAACTCGCGCTAAACTCGGTTTTTAGCGTCAGGTGCAGGTCCTGAGACTCATCGTCTCTCAATACAAGTGAATTTGTTCACAAGCGGATTTTGACCGCTCCAACATGGCGGACGCGCAGACGTATCGCCTCAGATAGAGAACAACAGACAACGCGGTATCTCGGAGTGTATATCTGTGGGTGTGACGCTTCCTGCGATAAGTTTCCAACTTGTGTTGTTTTACAATAACGTTTTACGTTATCTCACAGCCCAACACCATAAAGCACAGTAAACACATACACACATTAAAAATTACAGCAACAACAACAACAACAACAAATGTCTCTCTCCTCAGAGCCCCTTTGCACGGCCGCTTTACATGGCCACGCCTCCTGTGCCCTGCGGCCAGTGGCGGGGTGCCACAATATATTGAGGCCACAAATTATTATATTGAGGTTACAATGTACTATACTGAGGTTACAAATTGCCATATTGAGGCCACAATATAGTATATTAAGGCTACAAATTGCAATATTGAAACTACAAATTACTGTACTCACAAAATACTATATTGAGGCCACAAATTACTGTATTGAGTATACAAATTACTATATCAAGGCCACAATTTTCTATATTGTGGTTATAAATTACTATATCGAGACTACAAATTACTGTACTGAGGCCACAAATTACTATATTGAGGCTACAAATTACTATACTGAGGCTACAAATGACTATATTGAGGCCACAATATACTATATTGAGGCAACAAATTACTATATTGAGTATACAAATTACTATATTGAGACTACAAATTACTGTACTGAGACCACAATATAGTATATTGAGGCTACAAATTACTATATTGAGGCTACAAATTACTATATTGAGGCCACAATATGCTATATTGAGGCTACAAATTACTGTACTGAGGCCACAATATACTATATTGAGGCTACAAATTACTGTACTGAGGCCACAATATACTATATTGAGGCTACAAATTACTATATTGAGGCTACAAATTACTATATTGAGGCCACAATATGCTATATTAAGGCCACAATATGCTATATTGAGGCTACAAATTACAATATTGAGGCCACAAATTACTATATTGAAGCTACAAATTACTATACTGAGGCTACAAATTTCTATGTTCAGTCCACAAATTATCTATATTGAGGCCGCAAAAAATTATATTGAGTATGCAAACTATTATACTGAGTACACGAATTACTATATGGAGGCCACAATTTACTACACTGAGGCCACAGTTTACTATATTTAGGCTACGAATTACTATACTGAGGCCACAATTTTATATATTGAAGCCACGAGTTATGACTCAATATATTAATTTGTGGCCTCACTATTAATTTTTGGCGCCCCTCATTAAAGAATAATCACCATGTCACGTTAGGGGCTCCGTGCTCTCTCACTTTTTATTCTGTGGCCATCTTTAGTCAACAGAAACGATCCTGAAACTCAACGTCAGCAAGTTCAAAGTTCCCTTTTTCGCGGGAGACCGGGAGACTCTCTCGTCGAAAATATAATTTTTATCACATTTTAATAGAAAGCGCAAGTTTAAAAAATCAGTGCATGGACTTGTAGAGAATAGAGCAAAACATGGGAGCGGCCCGGCCGGTGGGGGGGCGTGATGAAACTGACGCGTATTACGTGGCAGCTGGAGCTGCCAAATCGCCCAGTTCAATCGCACAAACACACACACACACTCACACACACACACAGCTTTGCGGGTGTTGGCTCGTTTCGGCCCTAGCTAGCTAACTTCATTTTCGCTATGGAGGTAAACACCTGCAACATTCAAGTTCTCCTGCAAGCTGCAGAGTACCTGGAGAGAAAAGAGAGAGGTATGGCTGAAGTTCCGCACTGTTGTTTCTTTCGATGTGCCACAGAAGGAGAGGCAGCCCCGCTGCAGACAGTCAAGTTTCGAATCAAATGTGTGCAGCTTTTGGGGGAAAAAGTGCTCGTATGTTTCTCAGCAGGCACACAGTTCGTCTTTAAGCGCTCACATCTGGTTCGAAAGTTGGGGAAAGTGGCCTCGATCGTGGTTATATTGTGTTTGACTCAGTGACCTACATTCGAGCCCCCCATTGTACACAAAGGCGCGAAGTGGCGGCACATTTGAAAATGTAGTTGCAGCGTAACGTTACACTAAGAGCTGCACTTCAGCCGCAGACACGTTCGGCCTGTTTATGATATACTCCGTGTTTTCGTAATCATGACTTGTGCACAATATTAGGAACTTTTATAGAAGACTGAAACCGGTGGCGCCAAAAAAAAACAACAAAAACAAACCGGGCTGAATCTGGTTTCCTTTTCGCCGGCTTCTCGTTTGAATTTTCCCGTTCCACCTTAAAGTGGCGCCGCGGTTATGTAACTGTGCCGTTCGCCAGCTTTACGTTCGAATTCTCACAGCGCCCTGCTGCACTATTTAAGGTGGAACGGGGTAATTCGAACATGAAGCTGGCGAAAAAGAAGCCAACCTCAGCTTCGTCTAAGATTTTGCTCGTTTTTGTCTGACAGACTGAATTTCTGAACAACGTCGATATAATAATACAACTGTAAGGTGACCATAATGCACACATGTATTAACGTAGCCAGTGTTAATAGGTTTAGATAGCAAACTTGTTTTTTTCGCAGTGCTGATTTTTGTGTGGGCGTCCTTCGGGAAGTGCTGGCTCGGTGATTCTTGCTCATAACTTCGTTTTTTCTCTCTCAGAAGCCGAACATGGCTACGCCTCAGCACTTCCATTTTACAGCAAAGCGACAGAAAAGCGGAGCAGACAGAAAACTAAGAGAGCTTCGCCGGGAAACAGCAGGTGAGTTTATCGTGCACTTTCAGACGACGTAGTGCTGTACGGTATATCGTCCGTACCGGTATTGTTAGCAGTGTTGGTGATACACGACGATACTGACTTATAGTTTTGTGTATATTTATCTATGACAGAATATTTCTGTCTCTCTTACTTCATACTGCAATTCAAAATACACACACACTACATAAACTGAAGAAGACAACCCTGATGGAATTTAAAGACAAGAACACAGAGGAAAACTACGGAGCCCTGCTGGTGACATCCTGCATAAATAAAAATAATGCGTGGCCACAACTTAGTAAGGCTTGGGAACGAGATTACGGCTTACTAGGTCGTGGCCACGCATTGGGATCTCGTTTCCACGCTTTACTAAGTCGTGGCCACAACTTAATCATCTCATGCCCTCGTCTTACTAAGTCGTGGCCACGCATTATTTTTATTTATGCAGGATGTCACCAGCGGGACTCCGTAGAAAACAGTCCAAACTGTGTCAGCTTTGTAAAATACTGAGTGCGTTTACGTACATTTAATAATCCGATAACTGCAGAAAATCAGATTTTGTCAGTAATCCGATCAACACATTTACATGCACTTGGGTAATGAGATAATGGGGAAACTCTGGGTCTACATGAGTCAGACAGTAATCAGATTTCTGCTTTGCAACCAGCCAATAGACTCACAGAAGAAGACGTGACGTAAATGTAACGTAAAACTCAAACTTCATGCCGTGGCTTTCTTTAGAACATTGCACCACGCTACCTAAAAAATATGAATAGAAGATTATTTTTAGTATTAAGTATTTTAAGTATTAATTTTATTATATTAAGTTCTTCATTTCGTAAAGCATGTGGTTTCAGCATTACTCCAAAAGTGTTTTGTTGCCATTTTGTGGGGCTCTGTTCAATTCCGCTTGCTTATTTCCGGTACTGTGGACTGTTTTTGCACATGCGCAGACTGAGATATCAGAAAGAAATCTGAGTAAGGGTACACATGTGCTGAGAAATCCAATTACTGAGCCAAAATCCAGCTCTCTTTATTGGATTTCTTGACCTTTCTCTGATCTAAGAAATCGGAGTGTGCTTACATGACCATTTGAGTAATCAGATGACTGCAGAAATATGGTTATGATCAGACTATTAATTGTAAACACACTGACTGGATTTTGGCAGTTTTCTGATCATTTAAGTTTCTTAGATTAGATTAAGGCCTAGAAATCTGATTAAGATCTGGTTAAAAGAGCTGGATTTTAACTCAGTAATCAGATTTTTCTGTTACATTTATGTCACGTCTTCTTCTGTGAGTCTATTGGCTGGTTGCAAAGCAGAAATCCGATTACTGCCTGACTCATGTAGACCTGAAGTTTCCCCATTGTCTGAACACCGAGTACATGTGAATGCGCTGAACGGATTACTGACAAAATCTAATCTTCTGCAGTTATCGGATTATTAAGTGCACGTAAACACACTCATTTTTTAATGATATTTTTATATAAAGTTTTGGCCTAAAACATATTTTTAATAAACATTCATAGCAGGATGATGCATGCAGGGCGTTAAATAGAACCCAATGAAAACATTTGTTCAGATTTACTACTATTTAACCAGAACGTTTCTCTACGTCTAACCATTTCATTTCAAACCACTCTGAATCACTTTGTTTACACCTGAACTTTTGATGGAATTCCCCAATAACTTTATTAAGGTAACTTAAATATTATTTGATACCAAGATACTGAAATGTATTTATCATATATTGTTATATTAAATTTTGTCAGTGTCACGCAGCACTAAGCTTTTTGTTTTTGTTTTATTATTGCTCATTTTTATAAAGCTAGCAATAAGCTGCCAATCTCATTTGTAGTTAATTACACATTTTATAATGTATACCAAACCAAATATTGTCTCATGTTTGGTATATAAGTGAAGTATGTATGATTTTGCTTGATTTCTTTGGTCTAAGCTAACTGATTTATTCTCTGCTGGAGCTGCAGATGAATTGCTTATGACGAAAATCCATTGATTGTCATTCATTTCTAATTATATTGTTTTTAACTGAAGCTGTAATAACAGTATAATTATATGTATTAGACTGAAGTAGCTTGCATTAAGAGAATCTCAGTTTATTAACTAACATTTTTCTTTACAATTTCAGGTCAGTGCACAATGAATTGGAAAAGCACAGGTATGACTTACTTCCTTAGTCTAATTTCAGCTCTAGTGGGTGTTCTGTAGCACACTGCACCGAGGTATGGTCCTGTTTTTTGAAGAGGAAATTCATATTTCCGTTTGCAGGCGAGCTCAGCTGCGACACTACTTGGAGCAGTTAAAGCAGCAGGTCCCGTTGTCCTCGGACTCGACGAGGAACACCACTCTGAACCTGCTTAGAAGTGCACAGCTGCATATAAAGGTGAGGTCACTGGACCTTAAAGTACTCTTCAGGGTCTGTGAAGATGAGTTAAAAAACATTAATTATTGTTGTCTAACGTCTGTGAACGTTCTGGAGGGATTTTTTCTTATAGGTTTATAAGATAGTTTTATAGTTATATCACAGTTATATATTTGGCATCCTTTGTGCCTCTGTGGAAAACGAATGAGGAGCGGAAGAGACGGAACAGACTGTTTAGAAAACAGATAGACTGTTATGGAAAAACATGCGTCTTATTCTCAATATGAGTTGTGCCTAACTTTTCACCTGGATGTCTACTCATTCAGCAAATTGAAAACCTTTAAGACGTCTGGGGCCCTTCTGTGTCAAAACGCTGGACATATAGGAACTCTCCAGCATTTTTCAACCTAATTCCTGTCTGCTGAACAATGTAGCATATGGTCAAGTTCTTTACCATGAACAGTTTACATACAAGTAGCCTACTGCTTCAGCACCTGCACATAGGCATGAGTGTGTTACGAGTTAACAAGATTGCTGTTCTTTTCTAAGTACAGGGAACCCTGTCAGGCTTTACTTAACCATTCATATCGCTGTTGTCGGAAGAAAACCTTGTATCTCCAAAATGGTAACTTTACAGAAGAAGGAAAAAACATACTTTACTATTAATGTAAGTCAATGGAACCAGACGTTTTTCCAAGTCATTTTGGGTCATTTCTTTTGGTCCATTCATCATGAAATTTACACACAATGTAAAGGACAACAGGCATTTTCAAATCATGTCAAAAACTGAAAAAATACTTGAGTATTAAATATACACCAATCAGGCATAACATTATGACCTTGTTTCTACGCTTATTGCCAATTTTATCAGCTCCACTTACTATATAGGTGCACTTTATAGTTCTACAGTTACAGACTGTAGTCCATCTGTTTCTCTGCATACTTTGTTAGCCCCCTTTTACCCTGTTCTTCAGTGGTCAGGACCCTCATGGACCCTCACAGAGCAGGTACTGTTTGGATGGTGGATCATTCTCAGCACTGCAGTAACACTGACATGGTGGTGGTGTGTGTTGCGCTGTATGAGTGGATCAGACACAGCAGTGCTGCTGGAGTTTTTAAACACTGTGTCCACTCACTGTCCACTCTATTAGACACTCCTACCTTGTCAGTCCACCATGTAGATAGCTCATCTAGTCCTTCATCAGTGGTCACAGGACGCTGCCCACAGGACGCTGTTGGCTGGATATTTTTGGTTGGTGGACTATTCTCAGTCCAGCAGCGACACTGAGGTGTTTAAAAACTCCAGCAGCACTGCTGTGTCTGATCCACTCAGACCAGCGCAACACACACTAACACACCACCACCACGTCAGTGTCACTGCAGTGCTGAGAATGATCCACCACCCACATAGTACCTGCTCTGTGAGGATCAGTTATATTGAGACCCGTTATATTGAGACTTATAGGTGGACTGATGAATTGGATGTAGTATTTATAGACTGATTGCCTTAATTAGAAACGTGCATTCAGAATTCTGGGGATGCAGAAGGCAGTGGAGCTGTAACAGGTGTGGCTGAAACCAGTGGTGCGGTAGGTGTGGTTGTGCTAACGCCTACTCAGGATGAGCCACGTCATGCTGGCATAGAGGGCTAAGGTGGTCCAACAGGTGTAACTGCATATCTAAGAATTTACATCTTATAGCCAGGCTTATGTCTGTTGGAGCACCTGCTGTAGGTTTTAATGGAAAATTTACCTTAGTACTGGTTTTAGCCTTAGTTTCCACTCGACACGACTGAAGAAGCACTGTAGTGAACAGCTAGTGGGGGCTAGATTAAGGCTAGTACCACATCAAGCAGCAGGGCTAGCAGGCTACAAACAGGGCAAAAAAAGACCCCTACCTTGAATGTAAAGCTATAATGAACTTAATAGCTTGTATATAAGTGGTCAAGCTGGACAGGTAGTCAGTAGTTACACCACTATGAATCTTTGAATGACCGAAAAAAAGTTATTTCGTCAGTCATTGTGTTTTACAAAGTAAGGCACCAGCAACTGATATTGAATATTGCATATATGAAAGGGAGCAATCTGGTTTACTCCTCACACTAAAGAGGAAGATTTACCCCGAACCCTCTAACAGAATTTCACTTGACAGATATTTTCCCTATAAATAACAATTAACAGTTTCGTTGTCTTTTGTGTTTATTGCTTTATTAAAAATACAAATCTGAAGTGGCAAAATGGGCTGATTAGCTATTTTCCTCAAGCTCAAATAAACAATCATTACTCAGACTTGTTACAGCACCTGTCAAAAGCTAGAACACAATAAATGTGTTTTCTGCTTTGTCTGCTTTTATTTGCGTGTTCTTGCCTCACGTGAACTGAAAAATAACACAAATAATTCACATTTTGTTTGTTGTGGCTAAACATGTGATTTATAAAGCCAACAACCGTGAAAAATAATGGCATTCAGTTCAAATAACTGACAGGTCAAAATAGGATTATTTAAACTTAAGTGTGTTGCATAATGAATTACAGTAACAGACTGACAAATATAAAACTTTATTAGTATATTAATGTTTATTTGTATTTATTTGACTATTAGTGTTTTTCAGAGCAAGTAAACACAAATATAATATGATAAAAGAACTTTTGAACAGTCCTATATATGAAATGTAGATTGCAGCGTTACAGTAGAATGGAGCTCATCCGGCTGGCTGTGTTTGCAGAAGCTGCAGGAGCAGGACGAGCGCGCCGAGCTGATGAAGGACCGACTGCGCTGGGAGCAGCAGGAGCTGCGTGTTCGGCTGCAGCAGCTGCAGGGCGGCACGGAGAGGATGCGCAACGACAGCCTGGGCTCAGCCATGAGCTCCGAGAGATCCGACTCAGACAGAGGTAAACGCTCGATCAGCGAGTCTGTTTTAATGAGCTGTAGATATGAAACGGCCAAGGCTGATAAGCTCTTCTCTCCGAATTTCTATCATTAATGGGTGCCTGAATGTTGAGCCAGATTAAGTTAGAGGCTTTTATTGATAGATGAAACAGAAATACATTTACATATAATTAAAGCATCTACTGTATTTACTTCAGACGGTCTGAGTTAGGGCTGAGCGATTAATCGGAAAGTAATCGAAACTGACATTCAGAACCTCTAACCGACGTAATCTTGCCCATGTCAGTTATTTCGATTTTTTAAAAAATTCTGTTAATCCTTTCCCCACTCTGTGTGTTCATGCACTGTCCCCTTAAAAACTTACTACCGCGCATGTAGTCACGTGACTCCACCACGTCCAGTCTGCGACATGGAAGCTAAGGCTACGTTCACACAGCAGGTAAAAGTTTGGCTGTTCACAATATCTTTTAAATGTGATCTGTATGCGACATCAGTCTGAACAGATCAGCTCCTAAACTGACCCACATACACAAAAGAACAGAGCGTCGCGCTGCTTCACGGCTCATCCAGAGGTAAACAATCACGACTATAATCGAACGCCAGTCGCTCCCAGAGGATCAGCTTCATCTTCACCAGCATCACAGGAGCCACCATGAAGCTTCACTGACTGACAGCTGGGCTCATCACCCAGAATGTGTTCGAGCTGTAAAAAGGGCGCGGTCACTTCTTTGGTTCGCGTCCTCGGATTCTTTAAACTTTGCTTTCAGACTTTTAACAGTTCTTTGACGCTGCAGCCTCGTTCTCCTACGGCCGCGTTCGGACATTTCTTCCTAAATCTCTTCAAACACGGAGGGTTTTAGATGAGTCTCTTCTATGTTTTGTACAGAAATATCACCCCAAATGTTTATGAGTCTCAGCGGCGTGAAATAATGATAAATGTCGAGTTGGATTGACATAAAAGTCGCGTGAATTCCGATCTGGCTGTTGAGAGGATTTACATTCAGATATGCAGAACATATTTACAGTACAGACCTTGTCAGTGAACTATGAGGGCAAAAAAACCAAAAAAAAACAAAATAATGGTTCATTAATCATAATCGAGGTAAAACATTCAAATAATCGTGATATTGATTGTAGGTCATATCGCCCAGCACTACTCAGAGTTGTTATTTATATGTAATTAGATAATTATTTAGTTAGTAACACATTAATAAAATATCAAGTTCAAATCATAATTATCAGCTCCTCTTCTACTTAGGAACACAAGTGAGGTTTTGATTGATAAACCAGTGTCCAGTCTTACCTGCAAAGGGTCGGTGTGGCTGCGTGTTTTCACTCCAAACAAGCTAAAGCTTACCTGATTGTACTTCTTTAATCAGTTGGTCTTAGTCTTCAAACATCTCAGGTGACCTCCTGCTTTGTTGGAGTGAAAACCTGCAGCCACACCGGCCCTCCAGATAAGATCGGACACCCCTGGTTTAGAAATTACCCTTCTCACAGAATTTCTCTACTTTTTTCAAGGAACTGTGAGTGAGAGATAATAAAAACAAAACTATGTGTCTCTATTATTGCCACTGATAACTTAGACTCTTGGTTAATAGACATAAAAGCAGTATTAACAAGTTATGTCTTCTTTTTTTATTACAGAGGACGTTGAAATTGACGTGGAGAGCATGGTGTGGACCTTGGAGTCGGACGGTCTGGGCACGACGCAAACCGAAGTCGACCATAGTTACTCCACTCCTGATCATGCCTGGTTATGACGACTATAAAGCTGCTAGTGTGAATTCAGAAACATTCCAAAAAAAACGGTATCATGAGGTCCAGGAAGAGCAAAACAGGCCTCAAACCAAAAACACCTGGTGTCTTGCCACAGAAACACCCTGCTGCCATTTTTTAACCATCACACTCAGGCTTTTTGCAAGCATGACTGGAATTTGTGATTTTATTTTTAAGAAATAATGATGTGGTGCTCTAGACAGACACACTGTTGATCTAACGGAGGCGTGACAGCATGGACATGGTCTTCCTAATTTAGCCTCCAATTCAATTGCACTTATCAGTCGCCTCCCTTCAAGCTAATTGGCTTCATTTTTAGGGCCAGCCTGCAGTATAGGCTTGCTTGCACTTACATCTTTGACTTATTTAACTATTTTATCCTTTTCCTTTGTCTCGATACATTGCACAGAGCAGCTGCCTCAGCACTTCGTTTTGTTCCAGTTCAGGGCATTCCTTCTCGGACTGCAAGTTGTGTGATTAAATCGCAGATCATGTCCATGCGTTTTTATCAGTGTTTTAATGCTTCTCTCTCCTGGAAGATGTACATTACTCATGAAGACGTAGGCTACGTTCACATTACCAGGCTGAAGTGGCAGAAATCCGATTTTTTTTGCTCCAATGTGACTCAGATCTGATGTTTTCAGGGCTGTGTGGACACGCAAATCTGATCTTTTCAAATCCGACCTGAGCCACTTTCATATGTGGTCCTAGATTGGATATGTGTCCGATTCGTGGCCACGCGACCTTAATGTGATGCTCAGATCGGAATTCATCAGCTTTTTCTCCACTGTGCCATCATTCAGCGTTACCATGGCAACAGCGCCAAACAGAAGTTAAAGCCTGTAAACGGTGGAAAAGCAGCTCATCTCACCTTTTTCTCCTTCGTCTCGCTCTAATAATGAAGCTGAGAGCTGATCGGAGTTAATTATCTTCTCAGCGAAGCTCGTTCTGCTCGTTAGTTTGAGCTGATGATGCACGTGATTCATTCACGTGACGTTACTGAGTGGGATGTGCGGATGCGGGTCATTTCAGGACGCTGGTTCGTTCACATTAGTGTGAGTGACCCTAATTAGTCCCATGTTGGGGATTTCACCTTTGCATTTAACCCATCTGTGCAGTGAAACACCACACACACACTAGGGGGCAGTGAGCACATTTGCCCAGAGTGGTGGGCAGATCTATCCACGGCGCCCAGGGGGCAGTTGGGGGTTAGGTGCCTTGCTCAAGGGCACTTCAGTCACGTACTGTCGGCTCAGGGGATCGAACTGGCAGCCTTCTGGTCACAAAGCTGGTTCCCTCACCTCCAGCCCCTAAAGACAGATTTGAATCACTTACCTAAACGAGTGTGAACCATCGTGTCGGAGAGATCGGATTTGAGCAATGAGGCTTGTAATGTGAACGTAGCCTTTTTCACAGTTTACGCTGCAAGACTTTTGAGTTGCATCTGCTAAAAAGTGAAAGAAAAGTCCTGCTTTGCCCAGATCGATTTGGATTTTGACCTTAAATACTTAATATTACTTAGCAAGTTAGATAAGTTTGCAAATAGCTCAAGGTTGAAGTTCGACAACCGTAGTAGTGTCCACTAATTGTTGTTAAGCTAAGTGCCATTCAGATCAAATCTCTGAAGAATCGAGGCCACTTTGGGCCAGAAACTGAAACATTAATTGTATTTTAGATGAAAACGTAGAGTGATTAGTAATATTTCCCCATTTTAAATATAGTAGCTAGTGTTCACCCTGAAGGAGCGTTTCTATAATTAAGCCTCTTTTACCACAGCTGTGTGTGCAACTCCTCATGTTTGAAGTAGCGAAATACGTTGGACATAACGGCAAACCTTCTGCTGAAACGCAAGTCATTTATGCAACTAATGCTAATAATGTACTTTAACAGTCATGCTTGTATTTTTTACATTTGTACAGTTATTCAGTGTAAATGTACACAGCTAAATAGTACACTGTATATGTGATTGTGAACACCAAATGCCTTATGAACTTTTTGTACGTCATTGGAACACCACCTTTGTATTTATCTCTCCTCTGTGTACTCATATGTAGCATTTTTTATCAATGTAAACCTTTTGTACAAATAAATATTTTATGTATTTAACTCGACTTATCAGTTTGTGTCCATGGCAACAGTACGTGTGTATGCTGCACTTTGTCCTGTTTAAAACAATAGCCTGACTGGAGTGGCTGGAATGAAATTCCATTCAAACTACAGGAACCCAATGCACATTATAATCTAAACAAGAGCAGCACTGTGTCTAAGAGGACCCACAGTTACCCAACACGTCATAAATTGAGAACCACATGCTTTAAATCTTAACACACCTGATTTGGTGATAAGGCCACTAATAAATACACTGATCAGGCATAACATCATGACCACCTCCTTGTTTCTACGCTCATTGTCCATTTTATCAGCTCCACTTACTATATAGGTGCACTTTGTAGTTCTACAGTGGTGGAGGATCATTCTCAGCACTGCAGTAACACTGACGTGGTGTGTTAGTGTGTGTTGGCACGAGTGGATCAACACTGTGTCCACTCACTGTCCACTCTATTAGACACTCCTACCTTGTCAGTCCACCTTGTAGATGTAAAGTCAGAGACGATAGCTCATCTGCTGCTGCACAGTTTGTGTCGGTCATCCTCTAGTCCTTCATCAGTGGTCACCGGACGCTGTTGGCTGGATATTTTTGGTTGGTGGACTATTCTCAGTCCAGCAGTGACACTAAGGTGTTAAAAAATCCAGTAGCTCTGCTGTGTTACTGCAGTACTGAGCATGATCCACCACCCAAACAGCACCTGCTCTGTGAGGGTCCATGGGGGTCCTGACCACTGAAGAACAGGGTAAAAGGGGGCTAACAAAGTATGCAGAGAAACAGATGGACTACAGTCTGTAACTGTAGAACTACAAAGTGCACCTATATAGTAAGTGGAGCTGATAAAATGGACAATGAGTGTAGAAACAAGGAGGTGGTCATAATGTTATGCCTGATCAGTGTATATAGTCACGGTCATAACAAAACCTTGTTACTCTACTTATTCCACTTGTTTATGCACTTGAAAATTGAATTATCCGAACATTTCATGATGTATCATCCAATAGAAATGGTACAAATTTGCTTGTAATAAACATTCTCATGTGATGGTGTTTTATCATTTCAAGTCCCATTTCCTGATAATAAAGCTTCAATGTGAATCATATGTTCACTCAAACACACATAATAACTGAACAAGACTACAGCGCTGGATAGAAAATGTTTATTGAACAGTAAGCAAATGCTACTGAATTAAGAGCTTTGTAGATTTTCATTGTAGCTAGATTTTTAATAATTATATATTGCGTACCAGTAAATAATGATTTCAAGCATATTTACAGACATTGCCGTCCACTGCGATCCTTTCTTCCATACTTTCAATTGCTGGAACACTGATGCAGTATTTAGACATCTAGGCAATGACTGCTAAAAACATGGACCCATCAACGCTCAATGTCACTTCAATTTGAAGCAATGAAGGAACTGTATACAGCAGAACTGAAGGAGAAGGCGTGGCTTTTTGATCCTAAGGGTACAGGATTACAAGATTATATCCTTAACTGTGAACAAATCACAGAAAAAAGAAAAAAAAAATCAACAAAGAGCTCACAGAAATGTTTTAAAATATGCCAAAGTTGGAAAAAGTAAGGATTTGTAGCAGTAACACGTCTCACATGCTAACACTACGCAAAGCATGGCGATGTATCTGCGACCAAGTCAAATTTACTTTAGGCCTAAAAAGGTGGAAGAGCACACCGATTAAGGGTGGGAATGGGTGTAGTAGGTTTGGTGGCCGTACAGAACGGGGGCGGTGACCTCGAGAACCGAACCCGCCCGACCCTTTTCACAAAGTCTCGGTGAAATTAGGCACAGGCTTCGGAAAACACTGGCAAGCGCCAGTCTCCACATCATACGTATTGCTTCTTCTGTGCTTGAGAGGCCAAATCTTTTGCCTTCTCTTTAGCAGCAAGCGCGGTCTCTCGAGCCTTCTCGGTCGCCGTCTCCGCCAGCGTACGCGCGGGCGTTTCACCTGCATGACAATTAAAAGCAGCTTAGCAAGAGATGGAATTACAGCCTACTTAATGAATTAATCACACTCCCTATTCCACATGACATCAAGTCTGAAGAGCTGCCCGATTCTTACCTTGCATTCTGGCCAAGACGTACTCAAATCCTTTCATAGTCTTCGTGACACCGCTCTTAAATCTGGCCAGGCCAAATTCCTAAAGAGTTGACGAAAACAGAGGCCATTTAGAGAAACGAAAATGCGAACTGTTGCCAAGTAATGTTGGAGGTTAACTGCAGTAATTTAAGCACAGACTAAACAGCTGTTCAGCTGTCAACGCACTACAAGATCTACACCCTCACCACCAGTCAGTATTGGTGGTGCTATGTTTAGCCCCTGCTGGTAACTTCATAGGTTACCCCAGCATTTTAATGTAACGTAGTGCAAAATGTGAGATGCTGTCGGTGCCGTTATTCAAAACCTACATGACTTTCCCCCTGTTGCCATAGTGATGGATCCCCTTTGGCCCACTGACCTGAACAGCTCTGGAGAGGCCATACAAGCTGGATGAGATCCAAGCCTCTCTCTTGATCTCCGTCCAGTTGCTGTTGTCGGGGTTCACTCTGTACACACAGCGCTCCTCCACAGACTAAAGAGAGAAAACAAGTCAGACCTGCAGACACAGCTGGTACAAAACTCGAAAAGAGCATATCAGCAGAGGAATTCCTGAAAATAATCCTTGCGCAAATTTCTGCTAAGCGGGTCAGTGTTCGCATTGTTTTCCAGGTCATAAGTTCATATCTTTGGCTTTCTTTCCAGGAAGCTGGCAGTAGTTGGTGATAGTTTTTCAGGAGGAAAACAGAAAAGCTTCATCTTCCTTAGTTATTACATTTTCCATCATACAGGGTGATTCAAAAAGATTCATCCGATTTCAAAATGATTTATTTTGCTTCTAAATAATTACAGATCAATGCAGTAAACTGTAAATGGTTTAAATGAGCATGAAGTTTATTATGTAATTGTACAAGGTCTCAGTATGAACCTCCTCCAGCTGTACAGACAACATCAACGCCATAGTCAAATTCATCCGATACTCGATTGAGCGTGTCGGGTGTCGCTGCACTCACGGCTCTTTCAGTGCGATTTCGGAGATCATCCAGTGTTGTGGAACCAACGACGAACGCTCTGAGCTGTTGGAGCTTCACTGCCCACGGAAATCACACTGCACAGTTATGACGGATTCACTCTTATTGAAGTGGAGAACGCTTTCTGCTCAGGGGTCTCATCTCCTCTCAGACTGAAGGAAGCCAGTCAGAAACTCTATGACCCCCTCTTTCAATTGGATTGTGATTGGTTCCTAGGCGCCTCACAGTTGTAAAAATATGGCGCTTTGAAATCGGATGAATCTTTTTGAATCACCCTGTACTATGATTACTATTTACGTGCAGGATATTTAGGCCATAGTTATGTAATGACCAGATATTTCAAGGTGAAAGTCCTAGTTAAACTGCAGCGAGTCAGTGGTGACCCAGTTTTGAGTACTGCAAAAGCAGGAGCTTTTGAGTAACAATGCCTCACACTCAAATCTAATAAACATGTTTGCTACTCTCTGTATTATTACAGTCAGAGCTAATGCTGGAGTGGATTAGTGCTGATTCAGCAAACCATGATTAGAGCTCTAAATCCACTGACAACTACAGTAAACTAGCAAATATCAATTTTATCACCATTTACAGTAAATATTTACAGCAAACCTAATTCTTTTGCACTTTTATCGTCACTGCACTGGCACATCAACTACAGAAAACAAGCACAGCCCAAAGACAACAACAGAAAAACAACAACTTCTCTAAATCCAGAGTTTAACTAAGATGGGGGGAGGATTACGATGAGATTAGGCGCAGCTCACCATGAGGCGCGTGTGGGTGATGTTCCATGAGAGAGTGACCATGGTTTTGTCCTTGGGATCCACTACAGAGTCCTCGATGATGTAGGCCTTACGCGTCTTGTGGCCGGGAAAGAACTTCTCCGCCCAGCGAGGCGCTCGGCTGGTTTTGGTCAAGAGCCGCCTAGAAATGAGGCGGTTATCGGGAGTCACCTCCCGGAAGATTATGTCTTCGGTCAAAACATGATTACTGTAAAGAAGACAAAGAGAGGATTACATGGGGCTGGAAGACAAACAGCTCCTACCAATTACCTACATTATGATCCACTTCTAAAAAAAAATAGGATTATTAAACGGGCGTCAATTAAAAAAATAATAAAAGTTTGTCTTTACCTGTAAGGATTTGGGTATCTTTGCCAGAATGCTACAGACACTTGGTCCCACGTGCCTTTAAGTAACCCCGCACAGCTGAAATACTTCACCATTGTTCCCACTAAAGCGTATTTTGCAAAGAGCTGTAGGGAGAAAAACAAAAGGTTTTACTGCCAGTCAGTTAAGAACCACAATCCTCCAAGCAAAACTCTAAAATTTCACCCAAATAAACACCAAGAAAAAGCAAATCCTTCAAATTTGCATGATAACCAAGGTGCTACGTTAAGATACTAATGAGAGTTTGTTTACTGGAATATAATTATACAGGGGGTCCCAAAAAACCTGACATCATTTGAGATGTGAATATCTGAGTAACTGCATGTCCTGGCAAACGAAATTAAACAGGCTTCATGTTGAACAACACAAGATTTATTTATCAAAATTCGAACAAGAAATTCAGAGGGATGTAGATTTTATAACCGATTTCACAGCTTCACACATGTAATATCTTCTGATACTGGTGGTCGTCCAGACCCCTTTGTCCTGCACAGACAGCCTTCCTCTTTGAGTTTTTTGTGCCATGTCCAAATCTGCTTTCCAGCTGGTGCATTTTTATTGAGTTTTATCGAAAATGTGCGCTGCACTCTTGTTTGACTGTGTTCGAGCATATTCTAACACACAAAATGATCATTTCTAGTGAACGCCGTTCTTCAACCTGAAAAAAAAAAAACGTTAAAAACTAAACTTGGTTGGTTTTTACACATTTTGTTAAAATTTGAGATCATTTGAGGGAGAATCGGCTGTTATTAGACTATGAAATTACAGCAATTTTTTTGGGACACCCTGTATTTAACACAATTTCTAGGCAGGGTACGTTTTAAAATAGGACACCATAATTCATAGACAGAGAAACATAAGTTAACAAAAATAACATACAACCAGCTTTATTTTGCGTATGTATATGAATGACTATCACTATTATTACTACATTAAAAAAAATTATAAAAAACTCACATTTGGCCAAAAACTGACATTAATCTGATAATTTTCAAATGCAAATAAAAGTAAGAGTTTAGCAGATTTAACATGACAATGTTAACCAAAGGATTACAGACACAAACACAATGATATTGGAGAAAAAGCAACAAAATAAAAGGAAGAAATTAGAAAACAATTAAATAAGAACAAATTGACAAATTAAACAAGGCAAAATAAATGGTTAAATGGTTCTTTGCATGGTGAAATGGTTCTTCAGATTTATGGAGAATGTGTTGTATAAGGTTCTATATAGAAGCTTTTTGAAAATGGTTCTATATAGCACCAAAAGGGTTCTTCTATTGTTATAATAGAAGAACCTTCTTTTGGTGCTATACTGATCCATATACAGCACTGTCAATCTGAAGGACTTTCACAATGAATCTCACCATGCAAAGAACCATTTAAGCAGGCAAATGGTTCTAAACAGAACGACTCCCTTCACTAAAGAACCCTTGAAGAAGATCTTTGCAGCTTTAAAAACATAGTTCTTCAAGGGTTCTTTAGTAAAGGTAATGGTTCTGTTTAGAACTATGTTCTCTATAGAACCATTTCAGGTTTAAATGGTTCTCTGCATGGTGAAATGGTTCTTCAGATTTATGGAGAATGGAGAGTGTGTTGTATATGGTTCTATATAGAAGCTTTTTGAGAATGGTTCTATATAGCACCAAAAAGGGTTCTTCTATTGTTACAAGCTTGACACGATACTAATAGAAGAACCTTTTTTTGGTGCTACTTTCACAATGAATCTCACCATGCAAAGAACCATTTAAGCAGGCAAATGGTTCTAAACAGAACGACTCCCTTCACTAAAGAACCCTTGAGGTATGAACCCTTCAGTAAAGGCAATGGTTCTGTTTAGAACTATAAGTTCTCTATAGAACCATTTCATGTTCAAATGGTTCTATGCATGGTGAAATCGTTCTTCAGATTGATGGAGAATGTGTTTTATGTGGTTCCATATGGGAGCTTTTAGAGAACGGTTCTATATAGCACCATAAGAACCTTTTTTTGGTGCTATACTGATCCACACACAGCACTATCAACCTGAAGGACTTTCACAATGGACTTTCTCCATACAGAGAACCATTTCAGCAGGCAAATGGTTCTAAACAGAACGATTCCCGTCACTAAAGAACCCTCGAAGAACTTTCTTTTTAAAGTGTGAAGCTGTAACATCTCAGCCCAAACAGCGCTCTCGGAACCAGAGCTGCTGGAGCTGCTGGAGCTGCTGTCCCACCTCTGCTGACCCGTTAGCATTAGCGTTAGCATGCTGGCTGCAGGTAAAGCGCACAGGGATGCTAAGCTAACGGCTAACGGACCCGCGACTGAATGAAAACGTTTATTTACGTTTCCGAATTTCGGTTTAAACCGCGGCTGTGTAGTGCAGGTCGAGGCGGGGACGCGACGAGATGCTTACCGAGGTCCGAAAAGCCGTTCAGACACGACTCTTTGCCATTTCTTGTCCGTCCGCCCTCCCGCTGCCCGCTCGGACGGTCCTCCAGCTCCGAGCACGAGATACGTGAGGGTCGACACTTCCGCTACAGAGCTGATGGGGGAAACGTGCAGACAGCAGAAGCGCTGATGCAGGACTGAGCCCCGCCCACATCGGGTCGCGTCCCATTCCGAAGCGATCTGGCTCCCTACTCCCTATCCACTACCCCATTCGCAGCTCAGCAGCAGCCTCGCCCTGCACGTTTTGCTTGCTTTAATTTCATAAACACGCAGCTCGTTATCAGGCCCTTCCTGAGGGGAAGTGAGTGTATCAGAGCAGTGAATGACCAAAACATTGTCCTGCTCCTTTCGCCCTTTTCCTTACTCCCTACTCCCTATTAAGGCTTTGTCCTCCACAGGGGTCACTGAGTGGACCTCTGTCACGGACTGAAAAAGTAAACAGATATACAATCAGAAAAACGTCTGGTTGGCAGCAGTGTAATTTATTGGCTATAGTTAATGTAGTCTTAATGTAGGCTACTCTAGCGCAAGTGTAAATGATGCATAAACACTGTTTTCTCTTCATGTCTGAGTGATTCATACGGGTACATAAGGCTGTTGCCAGTATTATTTTGTTTTGTATCATTAGCATTGAATCCAGAGGTGTCCATCAGTTAGTCCCCTCAGTTTAGCAGCCCTTAGAAATATGTTTTTCAATACTTTTCAACAGCACTGCCAAATCTGGGCGTGATCCATTTGAAGTGTCCTACAGAGGTTTTATGCAATGTGGAGCGCACATAGGCCAAGAATGGTCACAGGCCGACCCAGTCAAATGGGAAAAAACACTTTTCAAATTGCAATAAAAGCAAATATATATATGTATGTGTGTGTGTGTGTGTGTGTGTGTGTGTATACACACATCATCTAAACCGCTTATCCTTCTGGGTATCAAACATCTCCTTGTGTGCTTTAGCACTGGACACTTGAGGGTTTAGTGTAGTTGTGCACATCTTAGCTGCCCATAGAAGTGAGTGGATGATGACAGCAATAGGCAATAACCTGACGTCATGACATAGCGGAACACAAAGCGTTTGGTAAATGTAAAAAAGCTACTTCGGTGGCAAAAAGTCTGACAAAAACACTTTTCTTTAGAAACGCTGGTTTCAAATGAGCAATAAAAGACTTTAAGACATAAGATACCAACCAAAATCACCGCCACTTAAACCACAGTGTCTGGTTTATTTTAGAGTCAAAATTCTCGCTGTTGCCAGTAGGGGGCAGACTTGACACGCAATTGACACTGAAAACAACAGTGCACCCACTCCGGCTGCTTTGTGGTGGTTTGGTATTAGCCGTCATGTAAATTAAGTTGAACGTAATGAATGGCTTTTAATTAAGGTACAGCTAGAACTGAACCCAGTGAACATGTTGTGCTGCTGCAGCTCACGCTGTAGGCACAGGAACTGTAGCAACCTGTTTTCTTTTAAATAACGCATTGCGACCAGTTTCAATTATAGGTAAATTAAAAGCAACTGGACAAGAGGTACTTCCCTGCTAGAAAAAACAGTGCAGACCAGCATCGCTGGTCAGCAGCAGAAACAACATATATTGTGTTTTGGATGCTGGTCAGCAGCATTGGAAGTTAATAAGCTGGTCACAAGCAAAACCAGCATATGTTGTGTTTTGAATGCTGGTATGATGACCATACCAATAACCACACTGGGTGACCAGCTAGGCCAGGGGTGCTCGATCCTGGTCTTGGAGATCTACCACCTAGGAGAGTTCAGATCCAACACACCTGGCTTGTATAGTCAGGTGCCAGGTACCAGGACATTTGTATTGTCCATACTATGACTTGCAGGGATGTTTCTCTGTCACTGAAAAGTGAGAAGATGTCACACTTCCTCTCTGCCTGCACTGCAACATCAACTACTATTATGCATACTAATTCAGTGAAGCGGTAGCAATGAATAATACACTGATTTTGGATTGTTGTTGTTGTTGTAGATGCAAAGAAAGGTCAAATGAAACACTTTTTGGCATCCCTGTCATCATTCAGACGCCATTCAGACGCCCACGAATGGCCTAGTGCTCCAGCGGGACTTGGTTGATTAAGCCATTGATCAGGTGTCATCTCTTAACAGAGCGATTTTAATCAATTATCTTTCTCATGTAAATTTAAATTTACTGTCATAGAAATCATAACACGAGTTATTTAACAACATAATGAAACTTTTGCATTATGTCATTCCATCTCAGCACTTCCATTTCATCATAAATATGCGAAAAACAGATAAAACTGACAAACACTGATTACAAACTGCCGTCAGCAAAATGAAGGACCTTACGCAAAGCAAAACACATGCAAAGTCTCTACACCGTTGAATACATCTGAATACAAAAAGCAAATGTAATCAAGGTCGTGATGTTCACAGCAAGTCTGGGCTTTTTGTGAGTCCTTCTGGGCTCGTGAGTCATCAGACAGCGGTTGCTGGTTGCCCGTCGTTGTGGCCGTTCACGATCAAACCTCGCAGCGATCGAGTTCGGAAGGAGCCCTCGGGGTGGATGGTGTCGGGTTTGTGCTCGCAGCGGAAGAACATCAGGAAGCCGTTCCTGTAGTTCTTGTTCATCCAGCCGTAGAGCAGAGGGTTGGTGAAGGTCGAACACATGGCCACGATGTGAAACAACGTGTACAGAAGCTTGTACTCTTTAAACTTGAGGATCAGGTCAAGGTCACTGGCCAGCTGGAATATGTGGAAGGGAAGCCAACACACGGCGAAGACCACGACCACCAGGGCCAGCATCTTGGTGGTCTTCTTGCGACGGTTGATGTTGTCGTTGCGGTTGGACGGGCTCACGTGGTTCTTCAGCTTGACCCAGATGCACACATAGGCATAGCTTATTATGCCCAGTGGAAAGACATACTGTAGAAGAAGCATAGAGAGGCTGTAGATGATGGCATCCCGGTTCGTGCCATGGGGCCATTTTTCAGAGCACACAGCAATCCGCAGGTTAATGTAGGGGATCTCCTCGTAGCGGTACTCCCGGAAAATAGCCAAAGGTCCAGCCAGGATGGCCGCGAAGGCCCACGTCAGGCCGATGATGAGGAAGCTAGCACATCTGGTTAGGCGTTGGCCCAGGTGGAACACGATGCACCTGTAGCGCTCCAGAGCGATGACCGTGAGGGTCAGGACAGACACGTGGACGCTTAGAGCTTGGGCGTAAGGCACCATGTGGCACATCACCGCCCCGAACTTCCACTCATCCAGCAAGGTGTATACCAACGTGAAGGGCAAGCACATGGTGTCCACCATCAGGTCGGCCAAGGCAAGGTTGGCGATGAAGTAGTTGGTAACGGTGCGCATGTTTCTGTATAGAAAGACCATGTAAATCACTAATGCGTTACCAACCAAGCCCAGTAGGATTATAAGGGAATAAGCTGTTATGAGGGTGATCTGGACGCTCAGGTGCTTGGTGATGTCATCCACAAAGACAGGCTTATGAGGATCCATGCTGTTGTTGCCCGGGCTATCTTCGCCACCTCCATGGGTGATATCACTGGTGCTGTTAGCTGGATCTGAAGGGCCCATGATGTCCTGGGTATCTTCTCAGATCAGTCCAGCAACGTTCAGCATGTACCTGCTGCAAAGATTAAAGTATTTATCTCAGGTCAGTCAAGAAAACAACAGTAACCTCTTGAGATCTTAATATAGAGACATGACTTCATGAACCAGTTTTCTAGACATGAATTAAACCTAGTTTCGAAATTCTGTCAGTGATAGTTTACAGTTGAAAAGAGTTTTTAGTCTGGGTTTATGCTTAGTCTGCGTCCCAGATCTAATGTTTTCAGGGTTTTGATTGTTCACATAAAGTTAATTTCCAGTGGTTCTTTTAGATCGCACCTTTCAAACATGGCTTGAAAATGAAATGAAATGATGAAATATGGTTATTTATGCATTGGTTTGGTTTCTGTGAAAGGAGTTAAGCCTAGTCCTGGACTGTTCAGCATTCTGAATGGAAATTCTCAGTTGAAAAGACAATACAATCCAGGAATAAGCTTAATCCTTGTCTGAGAAACTGTCCCTATATGGCACAGAGTTGGTTGCCCAGTTAGGATTAAGCCTAGTCTTGGACTATATATTTCTGTCAATGTAGAATCTCTGGTAAAAGGAATATATACCAGGACTAGGCGAAATCCCTGTCCAGGAAACCAACTCTATGTTATTTAGTGCAGGTTTCCCACACAGGGGTTAATCCTAGTCCTGGAATAAACAGCATTCTGAATGGCACTTGTCTACTGAAAGCCATATATAGTCCAAGACTAGCGTTAATCCCTGTCTGGGAAACCAACCCTATGTTATCTAAGACCGGTTTCCCAGACAGGGACTATACCTAGTCTTGGGCTACACAGAATTCTGAATGGAGATTCTCTGAAGAAGGGAAAAAACAGTCCAGGACTAGTCTTACTCCCTGACTGGGAACCCGACCCTTTCTGCAACCATTATTGTGAGAATATTATACTTTGTTTAAGAGGGTAACTTGGCTGCCACTCCCAGTTTTACCATTTTGCATACCAAGTCAAAAAAACGGTAGATGCACTCAACGTTTTCAATAAAATTTGAGTACAATTTGATTATGTATTTACAAAACTTTCCTTTCTGGAGCACTCTGGTTTTTGCTCCATCTTTCACACATTCTTTAATGATGAATGAATGTTGAGGATCTTGGATGAACTTTGGATGATGTTTATTTTCCACAGCTAGGTTTGTGTTCCCAGCATAGAGGAAGCAATGAAGTGCCACAGCTCCGGATGTAGCATGCACGACTACTGAAATATGTAGCTTGTTGACATACTGGAAAAAAGGTCATTTCAATGTAATAAACAGTGTTTATAACAATAAAAATGAGGTTTAAAGATGGGTTAAAGCAGGGGTGTCCAGTCTTATCCACAGAGGGCCGACGTGGCTGCAGGTTTTCACTCCAACAAAGCAGGAGGTCACCTGCTAAAATGTTTGAAGACTAAGGCCAACTGGTTAAACAAGTAGCATCAGGTGAGCTTCAGCTTGTTTGGAGTGAAAACCTGCAGCCACACCAGCCCTTTGTGGATAAGATTGGTCACCCCTGGGTTAAAGCAAAAAAAGCCAGTATTGGGCATGTTAGTGTTAAAATTCTGGATAATTCAAACATTGAGATGTAAATAAAAAGTCATTTGGAGTGATTTGATATAACATGGTTCATTGTAGAGCACTGTACTGACTCAGACAATGGAGGTAAAAGGAACCAGGGGTTGCAATGTCTACAAGTATAGTCATTTTATTTATTATCCAAAATGACCAGTGAACCAGCATGTTATCTGAGCGTTTATACAGGGTGATTCAAAAAGGTTTCCAATTGCAAAGTGCCATATTTTTACAACTGTGAGGCGCCTAGGAACCAATCACATACCAATTGAAAGAGGAGGTCCCAGAGTTTCTGACTGTCACCAGAAGATGGCTCCCTTCAGTCTGAGAGGAGATGAGATCCCTGAGCAGAAAGCGTTCTGCGTTCTCCACTTCAATAAGAGTGAATCTGTCATAACTGTGCAGCGTGATTTTCGTGGGCAGTGAAGTTCCAACAGCTCAGAGTGTTCACTGTTGGTTCCACAACACTGGATGATCTCCGAAATCACACTGAAAGAGCCGTGAGTGCAGCAACACCCGACATGCCCAATGAATTTGACTGTGGTGTTGATGTTGTCCGTACAGCTGGAGGAGGTTCATACTGAGACCTTGTAAGATTACATAATAAACTTCATGCTCATTTAAACCATTTACAGTTTACTGCATTGATCTGTAATGATTTACAAGTGAAATAAATCATTTTGAAATCGGATGAATCTTTTTGACTCACCATGTATATTTAATGATGATGGTAATATAGTGGTAAATATAAATGGATTGTAAAAATGGTGTTTTAGGCCAAAACCTAACCTCAAAACTATCGTTTTAATGCAATAATGCATCAGGCAGCATCTTTGTGACCATTTTGTGTGCAAACTCCTTATAATGTAGCTTTTAGAGCTTTTAAACTCGTCCGATGACTCTTAGACAATTCTTACTTTGTAAGTTTCTCTAGAATGGAGCATTTCACATTAAATCACTCCGAATGACTTTCTGTACATCTTAATAATTTAATTATGCAGATTCTTTTTTCCTTTGGCATAATTCCCATTTATTGTCCCTTTTTGTAAGAGTGTAAGAGTGAGATGTCATTACATTAAACACTTTTATTAGGTTGAGCAACAGAATATGCCAGTATATGTTTCGTTACCCTGTCCCACACATGCTGGACACTCTTCAGCTTGTAAAATGGATCATTTTAACCTTGGCTGGAAGTTCAGAATGTCCTACATTGTAACACTGAAAGGCATTACATTTCAAAAAAGGTTAATGAGCTCCTTTGCCTCCATTAAGTACAGAGAGAAATCCATTAAAATCCAATCCGCCAAGATACGTATAGTAACATTATGATAACACCATATTTCTCTGAAAGGTTCAGGCTCATGACCTGAACAACCGACTATATTGCCATTTAAGCTGATTACCAGACTTGAAATATAATAATGCCCTGCTGCAGGGTCCACTGCCAGGGGGGGAGCAGAATATTGGCAATAAGCAGCTTGATATTTGGTCTTTGGTCATTAGGGACTACAACACAAATCTTTGGGACTTGGGCAGCCTTTTATAAACTAACAGATGAGACAGCTTTCAGAAGGCTTTCGCTTTGTCGGGTTCTTAAGCAATTAAAAGCACGCGTCAGATTATTAGGCTGTCAAAATTATGCAACAGAGCCTTTGTGAAATGCCTGAGGGCCACTGAGTCATAGACATATATACATGTACGTATTTATGAAAAGCACTTCCATTTGTTTGTAACGCAGCAGGTAATTTCGAAGCAATTATGTAGTCTCATTTGAAACCCGCAGAAGAGCACTTAGTTCTAAAGAAGGTCCTGTAACACACTCACAAACACTTTGCATCTTGCGGAGACCAGGTGCTCGCCTTTCTTTTCTGCAGTGGATGGAAGATTACTGAAGATTGCTTCTTATTGCAGAGCTCTTTCAGCAGCAAGACAGTAATAGATGATTTAACAAAACGTCGCCCCAAAAAATTTGTGTTCCTTTATTTATCTTTTGACGACACATGGCTGCTTCTATGTCAACTGAAGGCAATATCAATACAATAAACGACTTATTCAAGCGTCTCTATGAACTTTACAGCTCTGTGGTCCGTGGCCCTTTTGAAGAGGTCCTTCTGAGACGCAGCATGCCAAAGGAAGACACCGTATAACGAAAGGTCATCTCCTTAGTGACAGACGGTCTTTGCATTGCAAAAAGAAGTGCCCATTCTTTTTGCCCGGTCAGTGAAAATACCTACAGATAGGAAGAGGCAAAAGCAGGGAACCGAATAACTTGCATCTTCAAGAATGTGACAGAACCAAAAGGTGAATTTACTATTCACTCATTACTCGAAGATTGCGTTCTGGTAATGGTTTCATTTAGGAAACACTTCAGCATCACGATAACGGCGACATCATTTCTAAGTCCTACAGAGATAAGCATCGCCTTGGAAAATTGCATTGCATCCTGAGGGCGGAAGTCGCTGCAAAAATAAATCTTTGACCGCGTGTATGTGTTTATGCGTGCATGTGTGTGAACAGTGAAGCAATAAACAGTCAGCATGAAAATGAGAGCAATGAGATACAATGAGAGAGTGTCTAATGTGACTGGCTCCCTCATCTGAATGTGGTTCAGCAACACTGGGTGCCAAAAGAGTAATAATTTGTGCCTTTATAAAGAACAAAAGACTAATAATTCTCATCTAAATGGAATGTGAGACATTTTAGATCATCGTAGCTTCCTCTCCCAACTTTGTCTTAGTCAGTGATGCCATGAGGTGTATTACAGCCCGTATGCCTCTTCCATGTAAACAGGAATTCCACTTATTTGTCAATATTTCTACATAATTCAATGAATTAAAAGATGTAAGCAAAGTGGTTTGAGGAAGACCCAGTTAGGATTGATCACAGCAGCAGTGAGAGGAAACTGAAGTGTTTAGTGTTTAAAACCTGCCTCACAGAAAGCTATGAGATGAAAATGGTTATTAGAACACAGTCTGACGCCTGAGACATAGTTTTTGGCCAAATATGTACTTTCAAAAATCCATTCTTGCTGGGAAAGTACATGTAGAGGGTCGGAAGGCAAAATAGTAGCCAAAGAAATATCAGATTTACCACTAATTATTACTATTAACATTTAACATCAACACTCATAACCTGGTTCCTATCACTTTCACTGTAAAGAAATCTGATGGGTAAGTGTCTCTACAATGAACCATCCCTCATCCAACCACTATGACTTTGTTTACATCTGAATGATTGGTTTATGCAAAAATTAAAAAAAAAGGGTGGAATTCCCCTTTAAGTCCTTGACTCTATAGATCGTTACAGGCATAAAGCTCTGTTCCATTTCCATCCCATATCACTTATTACTGCTATTGTGATTCCAAAAAGGCTTTTAATGGTTAATCGTTTCATCAACTACAGCAAGCGTT